ATTCTACGCATCAAAATTAATAAGAAAAAGTGTTTTCCCGAGAAATTTGGGTGTAGTCGATTTTTGGTAAAAAAGGAAGGTGCCTTTTTTTGAGCCCCGAAAAAAAAAAACTCTGATCGACCCGGAAAAAAATTTTCTTATAGAATGTGGCAAAACAATTTAAAGGTTCCTTTAGAATGTAGATATATAGACCCTTACGTTTCCATGCTCTTCAACTTTGATCTTCCGGTCAAAAATGACGAGATTGGATGCTGGATTCAGTGGACCCCCTTTTTTAGGATTTTTCCTGAAAATTCTTTTTAGACATTTTCGACCATTTATTTTAATATCCGCTCTAGGATTCTAAGACTTTTCCAGTTACATTGGTTTGTTCTTTCTCGTGGATTTCTTGGGATCATTCCATCCCTGGCCCTTTTCGACCATTTCAACTTCTTTCAAATCTTCAGATGTACAAAAATGTAACTAACTCCGTACAGAAATTGTACTATTAGACTAGGTACTTCAATTCCAATGCTTGCACAAAAAGGAACTTGAAAGTACCTGCCCTCTGATTTTTTTCAAAATGGTTGACCTATTTATACATCTACTGTGCTCCCATAATACAACTATTTCTACTATAATCTTTTACGAATCTTCTATTAGGAGAATAGAAGGTGTTCCTAAGTAAAGCTAAACTCTACCAAAGTTTGTCCAGTTGCTAGGAGAACATGATGGACGAGAAGGACGTTTTCCATCACCACGAGAAATATTTCGGCACGTTATGTTGGCTTGAACCTTCAACAATCTCGTATCAGGAGAATAGAAACCGCGAGGAGATGTTCTTTTGATTGTAATTGACTATATGCACGGTGCCTTTATCTCGAACCTTATATATAATATGAGTTAGCAGGCTACTGAACTTCTTATACTACCAGGAGACCATGATGAAATCACTAAGAACATATTTTCGAGCTTCAATCTGGCTTAAACCTTTACAAGTCTTGTATCAGGCGGATATAGTGTGCTCTTAATACACGGAGTTGGCAGTTGGCAAAATTTCTCAGTCTACCAGGAGAACATTATAAGAGACCTTGTGTATCTGGAAAGTATAATGTCAAAGAGGTGTTTCTGAAGCTAATACAAGAAGAGCCAGTTAGCAAACTTTTATCAATTTTTTCTCTCTGCCAGGAGAAAATGAGCAAGTAGGTCTTTTTCCAACTTCCATCACCAAGAGAAATATTTCAACGCCTTTTTTTGCTTCAAACAATTTTCAATCAGGAGAATATAATGTTTTAAGCTAACTTTCCGAGTACTAGTGGCCAATGCAGTGAATTTGTCAGGTTACATTGAGAACACGATGGACAAGGTGGTCTTTTTCTATGACTAGGAAAAATTGTTGTGGATAATATGGCATGCGAAGAGGTGTTTCTGATACTTATGGTCGATGAGAATTTTTTCCATTGTCAAGCGAAATATTTGAACGCTTTATTTTGAAACTTTTACCCATATTATATCAAGAGAATATAATGTGTGAGTAGGTGTGTGTGCTCCTAATACACTGAAAATCGGTTAGAACAATTTCTTTGACTACCAGGAGAACATTATGAACGATGAGAAATATTTCAACGGTTTATTTGGTTAAAAGTTTTTACCGATCTTGTTTCAGGAGAAGGTAATGCGCGAGCAGATGTGCCTCCTTCTAATGTAGGAAGTATCAAAACTACTGAATTTTGTCAGGCTATTAGGGGAACATGATGGACGATGAGGTTGATTTGGATTTCCATTATAAACTTTCCCTATCTTGTATCAGGGGAATAGGATCCGCGAGGAGATGTTCCTGCTCCTAATATAGTTCAAAAGCTATTGAATTTGTCTGGCTATCAGGAGAACATTATTGACGAGGACTATCACTAAAGAAAATCATTTCACTCTTGTGTGAGGCGTATATAGTATGCGTTCCTGCTCTTAATGAACGTAGTAACAGTTATCTAACTCTGGTAACATTTCTCTGTCTACCAGGAGAAAATTAGAAGAAAAGAGGTTTATTTTATTTTATTTCATGAAAATATTGTTAGGTTTATAAGAACTTATAAGCAACAGGAGGGAGGCGGTGGTTTATTGCTAGACACTTTACCAGGTATTATGCTCTCATGATACTTTCGTTTTGAAATTGTTTAACAAATCACAGAATCGCGTAAGGGTTACGCTTTTAGGCATTAAGTAACCATTAGTTTCTATTTTTTGCGCAAAAATCTGCCATCCAAATTCGAATAAAGTTTCAAAACTAGAAGTGCATAATATACTGGAGTATCAGGAGCACTTACAAAAGTGTATGCGCGAGAGGAGGTGACAATCGTATATCACCTCAGAGAGTAGTTGCGTATATAGCGAGAAAATGATCACTTATTTAAAGGTTTATAATATAATATAATAGTTGCGTCAGGAATACATCCGTGCAAAGAAGGTCGCAGGATGGCTTATTATTGGGAGAGCAAGTCGACTTAAGATGCGCAGGTTATAATTGCGAGAAAACTAAAGAGAATATTAATTTTTGTATCAGGAGCACAGAAAAATGAGATGATAACGTTTTCGTCAAGCGTCTTGCGCTTCTGTGCTCCTAATGCAAATGATTTTATTTTCGTATCGGAGAGGTACACTGATTCATCACAGAAATACGCGAATATTTTGTAAACGTATTTGTACCAATGAAATATCCTAGCCGTATGCTTACGTATAGAAAACTTTTGCTATCGGGAGCACATGCCAGCGAAATGTATAAACTTCGTAATGTTTTATTCACAAGAGAATAATAATTTATTATTTAGGAACGTAATCTATAAGTGTGCCACGTTCAAAAGTTGACGGTTGTATCAGGAGTACATAGGTGCACGATGGATCAAAGAAGGGCTTGCTACTTCTCGGAACCGTAGTGCACAAGGGAGGAGGTGCTATGGGATAAGCCGACTTAAAGTTCAGAAAACTAAAAATGTTGGTTCCAGGAGCACATCAGAACTTGCATTTTATAGGCAATGTGGAAGTAGAGTTTACTAACGAATATTGTTTTTATTATGAATGGAACGGTAGTCGGCGTAAACGCATTTTTGTATCAGGTGAACATAAAGACGGCAATTGATCAGTGTCGATCATTGTCAAGGAAATATAAATTCTGCTGTCGCTTCTATGGCGCTAATGCAACATCTTTTCCCAGTCAATTTCAAATACAGGTTTTGGTACTTCTGTGATCCTCATTAAACAATTTTTCAACACTCGCCATGCATGAGAAATCATATGTCATTACATATGATACCAATTTTTGGTACGACAATCGTATCAGGGTCTCATAATACGTATTTCTTTTTGTATATCATGTGCGCAAGTGGTTAGGATGCCGATAATTGTATCAGGAGTATGTGATTAGGAGCGTTTAAAGACCAGAAAATTGCAGAGGTGTAGGTCGTTTAAAAATCGATATTGTTTGTATCAATTTTTTGTATTGGTGAAACTAAAGTATACTGGAAAGTATTAGAAGTACACTGCGTATAGAAACCGCGTGACAATCTTCTTCCAACTCTTAAGATTTGTACCGTTTTCGATACGCAGTGTCACAGCGGTAGGGGTATTCTACTACCCGACTCCACACGGAGGATTTAGATGCAATACCAAAAACCTTCCTTCTGAGATCTCAGAATTTGATTTACTTTTGCACTCCTGATAGAAAAATTCGTCCAAAGTCAACCTTCTTGTATTCCTCCAAAGAGGGGTTTCGTTAAAAATAGTCTTTTTGAGTATATGTTCTCCTGATACAAAGGTAGAGCCGATTCTGCCAGAAACCTTCTCACCAAAATGCATTCCGACTAGAAATGGAAAAACTTTCCAAGGAATTGTAACTCCAAGTTTGTCATATATTTAAGAGTCGAAAGTAACCATCTTCATTTCATTGCTGAACCCCTAATAGTTAATATTTCTCATAAAGCTCATACTATTGTAATTCGTTTGTGCCTGTGTGCTCTTGATGTAAAGCTATAAGCAGGAGAACATAATGGGTGAGGAGGTCTTTTCCCATTACCCACAAATATATTTCAAAGCCAATTTTCGTTTGAAATCTTTACACGTTTTGTATCAGGACAATATAATGTGCGAGGCGGTGTTTCTGTTCCTAATTCATGAACTATCGGTTAGAAAATTCTTGTAAAATTTTTCTGCCTACCCGGAGAACATGATGGCTGAGGAGGTCTTTTCCCATTACCCACAAATATATTTTAAAGCCAAATTTCGGTTTAAATCTATACAAGTATTGTATCAGGAGGATATAATGTGCGATGAGGAGTTTCTGTTCCTAATACATGAACAATTAGTTAGAAAATTCTTTATAAAATTTGTCTGGCTACCAGAAGATCATGGTGTTTGAGGAGATCCTTTCACATTACCCACAAATATATTTCAAAGCCAAATTTTGTTTTAAATCTTTAGAAGTTTTGTATCAGGAGGATACAATGTGCGAGGAGGTGTTTTTGTTCCTAATGTCTCCCCACCCTCCCCGCCGCGTTCGTGCTACAGATTATAACCCTTCTCAAGAAATTGAGCATTGGCCTCTACCTATAACTCCAAGGCTGCTATGTCTAGGAATTGAATATGTGTTCCTGATACAAAGCATAATCGATTTCCATAGAAAACCTCATTTACCTCCTTGTGGTTATGCCGTCCTAATACGGAGATTAATATTGTAATTGTGCCGATGCTCTCGTCCTCGAAGTGTTCGAAAAATTTTATAATCTTAAGGTTAATTGGATACATCCAGGGCCAGACTGGACCTACCAAACGGCCCGGGCGATTTTGTTAAACCGGCCCACTACCTTACCAGACCTTTTCGGCCGGCTTGCTGAGGCTAAAAACAACGACCCCGGGCCTCGAACTAGCACCGGCCCTGGATACAGCTCGCTAATTAATAGTTTAGTATTCGTCGGCGTGGGATTGCCTTTGTTTCAAACATTAAACGCTAATTAAGTTTTATTTTTTTACAGAAGTTCGACCCGATGGATGTGTTAAGCGCCAGTTGTCACACCCTAAAGTAAGTATTGTCGGGGGAAAGACCGAGGCACCATAAGACTTTTGTCAATTGTAGCATTTTGGAGAACGAGAAGGCGATCATCGAGCAAAAGAGGCAGGAGGATAGGTTCAAGGAGATCATTCAGAGTTGCCAGTCGCTGAGCCATTACGAGGGGAAAAAATTTAAAACTCTTCTTCCGCAGGTAAATGGCACAATTCTTCCACTATTGCTAATTAGTCATTAATTTGCTAATTGCTAATTAATTCCAAAAATTGCGCGTGTCATTTCAGATATTGGCAGCAATATTGTCGGCTACTTTTAACATCGTATATGGAGTATCGCTAGCCTACTCAGCGATACTCATCCCTCAGCTGAACGAGACGCAATACTCGTCAAATGCGACCGATGACAGTATTCTACGGGTCACCGAAAGTGACTTCTCGTGGATTGGTGAGTGTGACACTTCGTCTGTAACTGTCTCACGATGGTCCTCTTTCAGCGAGCGTTCTCGTCGTGATCGCGCCGTTCGGTTCGATCGCCGGCGGTTTCATGATGGACGCGATCGGAAGACTACGCCTCATATTTCTGGCGGCGATCCCGAGCGTACTCGGCTGGCTGCTGATCGCGACAGCTACGAATGTGCCGATGATGATCGTGGGTCGGCTCCTTACGGGGATCGCTTCGAGTAAGCCTCGGCTTCTCGTAACTTAAACGCTGACGTCTTGGTTTTAGCTTGGGGGGCCAGTCCAGCCATGGTCTACATTACGGAGATTGCAAGGGCGGACATGCGCGGATCTCTAATTTCAGTGGCGCCCGCCTTTTGCTCGCTAGGTTTGTATAATATAATAATAATAATCACGACCGCGGTTTGCTTTCAGGCATGGTACTCGCGTACCTGAAGGGCTGGTTCATCGACTGGCGGACGATCGCCTGGATTTGCGTCGGTTACTCGATCATCCCGGCAGTGGCCGTCCTGTTCATTCCGGAAAGCCCCCCTTGGTTGGTTAGCAAGGGCAAGCTGAAGAAGGCGAAGCGCGGTCTCGACTGGATCAATCGATTCCAACCTCAACCTTTAGAGAAGGTACTTTCTTCATTTCTTTCCTTATCCACTTCATCCATTTTTCTCCTCTTTCCCCTCGTCCCATATTTCTCTCCTGCTTTCTGTAGTCCTATCTACTTCTTTGCACTCCCATAGCAGATGATCAAAGATCTTCCTCTCTCAACATAGTTTCCATTTCCTTTCTTTTTCCTCTTTCGGCTTCTCTCCTCATTTCCGTATCTGAACTTCGCGATCAAGTTAATGTTTCCTTCCCTCCCTTAGCTATTTCGACACTCTAATCCTTTCGACTCGCTCGGAACTGCTTTTTGACCCATCCCCTTTTATGCCTTTGGTTCGCTCGGCACAAACCTGGGCAGAGTAACATCTTCCTTTGTACTTTGTGTTCCTTCAACTTCTGTTCCTCTACCTCCCCCTTTCTTTCTTGCTTCATCGTTGTTCTGAATTTGTTTGTCTTTTATCTCTCTTTAATGCCATCCTTCATCGTTTTCCACTCATGTGTTTTTCTCCTATTTCTTCTTCCTGTTGCTCTAGTCTCCAACCATTTCTAACTGACGTAATTTTAGGTCGAGACCTTCTCCGACATGCAGCTGGCGTCACTGCAAAAGGAGCACTTATTAAAAATGCAAGAGCGCGCACAAATAACCAAGAGATCCCTGAGGGATAAGGCGAGGATGTTCTGCGAACCAACCGCTTACAAACCTCTCCTAATTCTGACGGGACTATTCGTCTTCCAACAGTTCTCAGGGACCTACATCACTTTATTCTACGCAGTATCCTTCTTCGAAGAGGTCGGTACTGAGATCAACCCATTTTTAGCATCGATCTACCTGGGAATGGTCCGATTTGGTATGTCAATGGTAAACACGTGGCTAATGAAGCGTTTTCCCCGAAGAACCCTCCTGACGGTCAGCGCGTTGGGGATGGCGGCGTGTATGGGTGTCTCCGGGTTGTTCACCAGGTGGATCCACGACGGCACGACAACCCACACCTGGGTACCGGTGTTAATGCTGGTGATCTACGTCATAACCTCAATGATCGGCTTGCTCTCGATACCATGGACGATAATCGCCGAACTCTTCCCGCTCGCCATTAGAGGGATCGCGCACAGTATCGTCTACAGCTTAGCGAATCTCATCATGTTCGCGGCGATTCAGTGCTACTTCGATCTCGAGAAGCTGCTCGGAGGATCGTCGGGCGTCCAGTTTTTCTTCGGGATCGTCTCGTTGGGCGGCCTCGTCTACAGTTACGTCTTCCTGCCCGAAACGCACCGGATGAAGTTGAGCGATATCGAGAAGTACTTCCTAAAACACACCACGTACCTCTCGCTCAGCTCCGAGAAGAAGAAGAGGATGCAGCAGGTGCAGCGGAGGCCCATCGTAAGAAACAAGTCGAAGGGAGAACTTAAGACCATACACGAGCAGAGTGAGAAGATGATCGTCAGAGAGGATGTTTGAGGGAGTTTTACTTAGCTAATTTTTATATGGAATTGTATTTTAAACGTATTAATTAAAGCGTCTCTTCTGTATTTTTCTTCTTCATCGTTTGGTTTAATGGGATTCCATATGACTCACGCCGAAAGGAGGGGCGAGAAACTTTTAACTTCACCTTGATCTCACAGCTGAAGGTCATCATCACTTTAATAAGCAACGTTTGAACGCTGAGGAATGAACTTGAACAGTGAGCAACCTTTGGACTTTGAACGGCGACCGACCTTTGAGCTTTGAACGGTGAGGAATGGACTTTGAACGGTAATTGTAGTTTTTGTATTGTTATTGGTATAATTTAAGTTGTAAGTGTGCGCTATTTTACCGCGCAACCCGATTGTAAACCAGTCAGTCTCGTCGCAGTCATGGTGAATGTACAACAAAAACGGGGAATGGTATGCAGAACGTGCATACGTGAGCATACACGCTAGGCGAGGAAAAATGGAGGCCCTATAAAAAGGTGAAGGTGCAGAAGAAACTGTCGCATGCGGCAGCCCAAGAAGAAGAATTAATTCACGCAGCCGGTTGAGCCGCCTCTAAATTTTCTTATCCCTTCATGCGCCTGATACACTGAGGAGGATTAGCGTTATTTCGAAAAGTAGTTAATGAGAGAGAGGAGAGACAAAAGACATAGAGGAGTGAGAGAGAAAGAGTTCTTAATAACCGTTTTCTAGCCTCCTGATAGATTGATTTTTAAAAGAAGTGTGCCCCAGGAGCAGATAAAATGGCGCAATCTATTTCTTCCTAAATACTAGTACACGACGGTATCAGAAAATCGGAATCATCGAAATTTCATTTACCGATTCTTATCCTCCTGATACACCAATTTTTGGAAAAAAACTGTTTGTATTAGGATACTATAAAGCGTACAACCTGTTCTACCGAGTGCTACGCCTTCTAAACTGTCCATAGGGAATTATTATTGCACACGAAGATGATCAGGAATGAAGGTAATATTAAAGAAATGTTTGTTTGTATGAGGAGAACATAAAAAGCGTGTTATCTTTTATCACTAATTATTCCTACCTCCTCTTGTGCGCTCTTTATACTTCTAATAGTTATTGTCGGGCATGGTGGTATCAGGAAACCATACGCTACTATTCTAAAAACCTAAAAACAGTCACGGATTAGGGAAGCATAGGAACTAACAGGCGCGTGCTCGGCGTAAGCGCCTCCGTCTGCCTTAATTAACAAAGTATTTTTTCAATAGTGTCTAAACGAGTTCCTGCGATGATCGTCTGTACAACTCACGTGAGAGAACAAGTTTCTTCTAAGATTCTGATACAATCACGAATGAAGATTGGGGAAACAGAACATGAATATGTATGACAATCCATTTTTCATTTATCGACTCCTATGCTCCTATCCTATTAATTGTGGATGTACATTTTTTTTATCAAAAGAACACAAAACGTAAGTGTGTTAGGTTGAGTCGCTACTATCGCGCATGAGGGTATCAGGAAACCATTGGCTATTTGATACAATCACGGATGAGGGAGATTACACCAGGAAAATAAATTTGGTAATAAATTTTTCTTTTACTGATTTCTATCCTGATACATTCATTGTATCAGGTTAACATAAAACGTAAGTTAGTGTTACCCTCTAACGCAAAACATTGCTGTCTAGGGTTTCACAGTTTCAGGAGAATATAAAAACGAGATGTATAAGCGCGGCCCATTTCTCCTTTTTTGGTTTCTAAACTGTTAATAAAGATTTTATCGAGTACGATGTATCAGGAAATCATAATCTACTATTCTAAGAATCTGATACAACTGTTTTCGTATCAAAGGAACATAAAACGCGAGAACACGAAATACAAATTTTATAATAAATAATCATTTGTCGGCTCCTATTCTCCTGACACATCAATTTTGGTATCAGGAAAACATAAAACAACCCATTTCTTCTAGTTTTTTCCTTTGTACACTGCTAATAGATTGACTGTTGTGCAAGACCGTAATAGGAAATCATAATTTATGATTATAAGAACTTAACAAATTCAGTGATGGGGAATATTACTATCAGGAAAACATATAACGTCAATTTCGTAATATTTTTTCCCATTTATTGGTCCTTACCATTCTGATACATAAATTTTTGTAAGACTCTCCGTGCAAGATTGTATCGGACATTTTTTCTACCTCTTGCGCTTTTGTCGACTCTCCTGATCCATTGATAGGATAGAATTTTTGTATTAGGAGAGCATTTTTCCCTATATCACTAATGCTGTACGTGAGAATATCAGGAGATCATAATGCGATACTGCATTGTACTTTTTTCGTGAGAACGCGATATTCGGATAGGTACTTCTGCACCCCTGACAAAGTTTTATATTGTACAGTTCTGGTAGGAGGTGGTTAAAAGTTCGTGTCGATTGAAGGAATAGGTTTGGGCTGGTCGAATCCTCAAATAAGCTTTGATATACTTCTCATTCTTATATTCTCCTGATAAACTTTCTAAAAAAGCTCTGTATACAAGGAGCACAGAAATGCAGGACCTAGGAATAAATTGAACTCAGAAGCGCGTAACGCGTTGGCATCGCAAGTACAGTGCTCTTAAGTTTTTATTTTAGTGCATTTACTGAGATCAGGGTAGCATAAAATATACTCGAATAACTTTTAGCTCTCTTATTACCCTTGTTTGGGCGTTATACGATCACAGATAAGGGAGGTTGGGCGAAGTTGTTAATGTTTTTCTTTCTTTACCTCCTGCCACATTTTTGGGAGGTATTTGTGTATTAGGAGAACATAAAACACTCGTATTTGGTTTCGATATCTTCTTTTTAATCATAGGTGGCTACTAGCAATTTACATAACGTCAGGGCAAAGTATGGCTGCAAACAATTTAAGTGAAGAAGTTCGCCGCGAGGAAGACTTGCTTAACTTCGTCAGAGATTTCCTCAATTCCGAAGAGTTCACGCGTTTGGTACGAACTGAGGTCAAGGCGCCGGCCGAATACGTACGCAAAAGGTTCTATTGCAGATGCACAGAGTGCTGGATAAAACCCGAGAAGCCGCCGCCGACTCCCGCAGAACTGGTGAAAAAGGCGCGCGAGCTGAGTGTGCTGCAGAAGAAATGGGCGAGACTGCAACGTGAGCGGCTCCAAGAGGAGACGCGTGGGAGGCTTGACCGTGATGTCGATGTGATTAGATCGAAAATTGCCGAAGCACGGCGAGTCTTCTTGTGCCACAAGAAAGAACGTGAGCTACGTGAGAGGGAGCTACGCGAAGAAGTGCTCGATGATCTTCGACGTACCTTACAAGTCGACATAAGCCGTCTCAGAGCCGACTGCAAGCCCGTCCAGAAAGTTTTGGCGTACAGAAAAATTCGCCACACCCAGAGGAAGAGCAAGGGTCAGCGAATTTTACACATTATCAGGAAGTTGCTGACCGAGCTGAAGCCTCCTCGCAAATGGCAACCGAAACGGCTTAAGAAGAGGAAGCGCATCCATTCTGTGTTGCCCTCAGCAGTTCCCCCACGTGACTCAGTCGTCCTGAGGCAAAGTGAGGAAGTCCAGGTGTACGTCGAACCACCAGAACGGCCCCCATCTCCATGCCACTTGTCTGAACAAGCGCCCCCCAGGCGCGTGGAAGTGCGTGGTCTGCTCCTCCCGCTCATACCAAACACGAACGAGCGGCCAAAAGTGAAAGCCGGCCACAAACAAAGCATGGGCGATATCCTGGACCAAATCGACGAGTTCGAGCGAAAGGAATTGGAGCTGCTCCTCTTCGAGGCAAAGAAGCAGAGTGACAAGGTCTACCCGGCGGATCGGGGTTTCTTCACTAAACCCAAGAGGCTTGTCTACCAGGTCTTCTTCACCATCTGTCGTGTTCCCACTCATCTGTTTCTTGCAGAGCTTCCAAAATGGACACGACTACCCTAGGAAGATTCGGGTTTACAACGGGGGATGCGTGACGAAGAAGTGCTCGTTCCGCTTCATCAAAATGGAGCCGACGAATTTGATCGAGGTTGAGGCCGTGGGCGTGCAAAGGTTGCTGCCTGGCATGTTCGTCGACTTGATCTTTACCTTCCATCCGGAGGAGGTCGCGACGGTTCTGCGAGCCGAGGCAATATTCCTCACGCATCACGCCCAAGGCGTGGCGCAGTTCTCCCTCCCGATCATCTGCGTTCCGGCGTACGTCTTGGTCGGAATCGAACCGGCCGTACTTCGCTTTCCCAGCCGGCCAATTTGGGAGGCGAAAAGTGCGCCGGCGAGTAGGCGGCTAAAGGTAGGCGAAAACGGTGGGAAGTTGTGCCTCACTGGGTAATCGCAGATTGTGAACTACGGGAGTAAGGATTGTAAGGTGCTGATTCGTCACTCCCCTGTCGTTGAGGAAAGCGTGTGCGAGCTTGAAGAATGTCAAGAGGTTCCCGGTAACGGAGAGGGAGAGTCGGAGGAGTTAGACGAGGGGGAGTTCATTGTCGTGGACGACGTCCAGCGCTTGGTCGAGCGATGCCTGAGCAACGTTTTTGCGCCGTTTGTATTTGAGGCTTATTGCCTGAATTTGCCACGTCGGAGTAACGTGAAGGTCACGGTGCGTTTTCAAAATATTGACTACGTAGGATTTTACCACGAGCGCTACCTCATCGAGGTCTTCGAGCACGAGGAGGAGACGCTTAAACACGTCGGGAGTCAGGTAGTATTTCTCTTCCATTTAGTGTGTACTTTTGTTCCATACTGCCCATGCTTCACAGTAGGTTCCCAGTTTCCAAAAAAGTAAAAGTTTTGGTACGGGGTCGATTCAGTAATACCAACCCAATTTCGACTGCAGGGGCCATTATCTCAGATTAAACTGCAGTTGGTTGTGTGGAACTTAAAGAATCTAAACAAGTATAAATTGTGCGCAACTCTTGTGCAGATAAAGCGCATTTTTTTACCGAAATAGCTTTTGTTTTGACATCGACCAATGAATATATTTCTTGCAGACGTCTCAATCGCCCTTTGTGAGTACCCTATTCCGACAATCCGTTCTTGAGGTATAAGGGAATATACCCGATCACGATAAGAGGTCGAGGAGGAGGGCTATGGTTGGTAGAAATTAATTCCTTTCGTTGAGACCTTTCATTAGAGTACCATGAAGGATAAAACTCGTTCCACTCTTCTTCCCCTCCACCCCGTACTATGATAAGAGGACAGAAAGAAGGGCAGTAGTTGGTAGAAAACGGTTCCTTTCGTTGAGACCTTTAATTAGAATACAATGAGAGATAAAATTAATTCTTAACTCCCCCCCCCCCCCCCTTCCTTCTTAGTAGCAATATAGGGCCGATGCTAACTCAAAAAGTCACTAGAAAATCACTAGATTAGGAAAAGTCACCAGAAAAGTAACTAGGGGTTTGAAACTCGGCGGGCTGGTTTCTTAATGAAAAAGTCGCTAGATTTTTCACTATAAAAGTGTTTGAAACTCTACTGTGTGGGTTCGGTTCAAAGTTAAAAGTGGTTCTGTGTCTAGATAATGTAGGTCCGATTCTAAATCACACTAGGCTAAAATCCTTACTAAAGTTACTAAGTAATATAGGGGATTTTCGAACCTAGTTACTTTGCTAGTAGACAAATCTAGTGAATTTTTGATTTAGAAGCCCGCCGGTCGAGTTTGAAACCCCTAATTACTTTTCTAGTGACTTTTTCCAATCTAGTGACTTTTTGAATTAGCACCGGGCGTCGGCCCTATATATTTATCTATTTATTTATTTATACTTTAATTGGTTAGTTGCGTTAAAAAAACAATTTTATTAAACAAATTTGCTCCTATCTTGTACACGGGGCGATAATAAAATTTGAATTAAACGGCAACCGGTAAAACGTTTCAAGGCGATTAATTAGCGCATCTGCTGCCTTTTAAAACCCAAATTGATATTTCCATACTGCGGAACATTGGTAAAAATGGAAAAAAATTCGGAAACTTGAAGCCAAGTTACTAAACCTTTTCATGGTCTATTAAAATCGTTTTAAAACCAAAAGCTTTTAGAAAATTGTTCCTATACCCATAAAGGCAACTTCGAGATCAGTGGGAGTGGCGGGGGAGGTTAGAAATTATCTTTCATAGTATTCTAATTAAAAGTATCAACGCAAGCACCTGTTTCCTATCAACTATCTCCCTACTCCGTTACTCCTTATCAGAATGGAGGGTGGGGAAGAACTGGTTTATCTCAAGGAAAAGAATTCATTTCTTCCAACCATAGTCATTCTCCTTGACCCCTTATCGTGGTTAATTGTAATTCTTCATATTTTAAGAGCGGAGTGTCGGAGGAAAGTACTCGTAGGAAGCGATTGGAAGAAATATACTGTTGGGAGGAGGGAGGGGTCGTATGCCGAAGATGGGAGCGAGCCACCCTGTAGTTGAAAATTTACGTGTTGTTAACGTAATTCCGGTGCGCGCATTGGAAATAACAGCAAAGCTCTCCTGTATGTAAAATGTTTCCATTTATTCGATGAGAGGAAATTTATTTTAAATAGACAGAATCGGAAAATTTGTTAAATTGTCATTTTAATGTAAGTTTTTTTAATTGTAAATTTAGTAATTTAATTGAAATTTTTATACTTAGTGAGTATCATACATTTTAAAACGCATAAATAAGGGGCCATTTAATCGTAATTTCGACGTAAGGTAAACGTTTTCTCTGGTCAGTTCTTTTGTAAAAAGGCGTCTTTGGACAAAAAAATTAACCTTGTTTACTAACAACGCCACGTGCAAGATAACGAATGCAGGTGTTTGAAGTTCGGGCGATCGCTGTGGGAATAACGACATGGACCTTACGAATGGGGGAGGTTTCACCTTTAAATACAAAAATGAAGAAATAAACGGGGCGTTTTTGGGCGGATTGTAAACGCTTGAAATTGTTACTTAGCGAATATCATAAATTTTAAAACGCATAAATAAGGGACCATTTAATCGTAATTTCGACCTAACATTAAAGTTTTCTCTGGTCAGTTCTTTTGTAAAAATGCGTTTTTGGACAAATTAATTGACCTTGTTTACTAACAACGCCACGTGCAAGATAACGAATGCAGGTGTTTGAAGTTCAGGCGATGGCTGTGGGAATAACGACATGGACCTTACGAATGGGGGAGGTTTCACCTTTAAATACAAAAATGAAGAAATAAACGGGGCGTTTTTGGGCGGATTGTAAACGCTTGAAATTGTTACTTAGCGAATATCATAAATTTTAAAACGCATAAATAAGGGACCATTTAATCGTAATTTCGACCTAAGATTAAAGTTTTTTCTGGTCAGTTCCCTTGTAAAAATGCGTTTTTGGACAAATTAATTGGCCTTGTTTACTAACAACGCCACGTGCAAGATAACGAAGGCAGGTGTTTGAAGTTCGGGCGATGGCTGTGGGAATAACGACATGGACCTTACGAATGGGGGAGGTTTCACCTTTAAATACAAAAATGCAGAAATAAACGGGGCTGTTTTGGGCGGATTGTAAACGCTTGAAATTGTTACTTAGCGAATATCATAAATTTTAAAACGCATAAATAAGGGACCATTTAATCGTAATTTCGACCTAAGATTAAAGTTTTTTCTGGTCAGTTCTTTGTAAAAATGCGTTTTTGGACAAATTAATTGGCCTTGTTACTAACAACGCCACGTGCAAGATAACGAAGGCAGGTGTTTGAAGTTCGGGCGATGGCTGTGGGAATAACGACATGGACCTTACGAATGGGGGAGGTTTCACCTTTAAATACAAAAATGCAGAAATAAACGGGGCTGTTTTGGGCGGATTGTAAACGCTTGAAATTGTTACTTAGCGAATATCATAAATTTTAAAACGCATAAATAAGGGACCATTTAATCGTAATTTCGACCTAAGATTAAAGTTTTTCTGGTCAGTTCCCTTGTAAAAATGCGTTTTTGGACACAATTAATTGGCCTTGTTTACTAACAACGCCACGTGCAAGATAACGAAGGCAGGTGTTTGAAGTTCGGGCGATGGCTGTGGGAATAACGACATGGACCTTACGAATGGGGAAGGTTTCACCTTTAAATCCAAAATGAAGAAATAAACGTGGCGGTTTTGGGCGGATTGTAAACGCTTGAAATTGTTATACTTAGCGAATATCATAAATTTTAAAACGCATAAATAAGGGGCCATTTAATCGTAATTTCGACCTAAGGTATAAGTTTTTTCTGGTCAGTTCTTTTGTAAAAATGCGTTTTTGGACAAATTAATTGGCCTTGTTCACTAACAACGCCACGTGCAAGATAACGAATGCAGGTGTTTGAAGTTCAGGCGATGGCTGTGGGAATAACGATATGGACCTTATGAATGGGGGAGGTTTCACCTTTAAATCCAAAATGAAGAAATAAACGGGGCGGTTTTGGGCGGATTGTAAACGCTTGAAATTGTTATACTTAGCGAATATCATAAATTTTAAAACGCATAAATAAGGGACCATTTAATCGTAATTTCGCCCTAAGATTAAAGTTTTTTCTGGTCAGTTCCTTTGTAAAAATGCGTTTTTGGACAAATTAATTGGCCTTGTTTACTAACAACGCCACGTGCAAGATAACGAATGCAGGTGTTTGAAGTTCGGGCGATGGCTGTGGGAATAACGACATGGACCTTACGAATGGGGAGGTTTCACCTTTAAATACAAAAATGAAGAAATAACATGTGTATTTTTCAATTCTACCTGTCGTATGTGACTATTATGAAGTGGACCTGAGAATATGGATGAGTAAAAACTGTCAGTTTGCGTAACTGAAGAAGGGTAAGCCAAATGCAGGTGGAGGGGAAAAGGTGGCGAGGAAAACCAAGGAGAATGTGACTTAGAAGGCGGGACAAAAAAGGGGTTGGATGACGAGAATGTGTGGGACCGGATTGAGTGAAAAAGGAGACTTGGGAACAACAACCCCTCGTAGAAGAGGCGAATTTGAGCGAATGCGACACAAAGCCGAGGTTTTCAAAATGTGACGTGCTATGTCGCCGAAGTCTAGGGCTGACCCGAATGCTCACATAAAAATAGAGCCTAAAGGGTGGAAGCAGTAACCTCACACATACGACGACGTCTGTTAACGTTAACAGGTTGGTTCTCGGAGTCGAATTAAAACTATCTCGCATAGCAGTAAGGCAGTAAAGCGTTGAAAATACCCAAATGCGAAAAAGAGACACCCCCAAGCACTAACTCAGCACTAATTTCAGTCCACTGCATTCGTGGTTACTACCAAGAAACCTTTGTCGCTACAGCTCAATGCAAAAAGCCAATGCGTAAGATCACTTGTGCCGATAATGACCAAAAGCGAACTACCAGTCACTCGCACATAAAAATTACTGTGCCAAGGTGCGGCACTAAACAGAATCTTTGAAAAGTAGTTTTACCTTTTCTGTAGATCGTACCACTTCCGTAACGCACCACTAGCACCCGACTGAGCTATTTGTGTTGCGTAACGGAAGTTCTGCCAAAAAATTCTGCAAAAATACTTCAGACTATAATAAATAAAAAGGCAGAAATACAAATTGGCACTAATGCAGTCGGCGTCGGACTCGAAGCCGCGAAATTGCAAAGGTCAGTGGTACACGTAGTGCATCGCGCGCTGAACTCCCTCACGTACTGGCAGTAGTCCTTAAACTTGCACCCTCGTATCACCTTCATCGTCATGTTAGCCCCGTATTCCTCCACGTTAAGTACTAAAAGTCGACGTGTAGATTATTCGACAAGCCCGTGTAGCTTACCGGCGGGCGGCGTCCTGTGCACGACGCACACGTCGGAGGGTTGCCTGCACATGACACTTTGCACGTTCGCGATCCGATGTCGACAGTCCGGGTTGGTGGCCTCGGTGCACTCGTAGCATAACAACGCTTGACCTGAAACGAGGAGGGCGTCGGTTACGAGGGCGCGCACCTGGGGCACTCACCTCCGCGCACCAGCAAGACCAGCAGCAGAAGATTCGCCATTTTGGTGACCTGGTGTTCAGGTAGAAGTAAATTGTTGCACTGGTTTAGTAGGTCGGCGGACTGGACACTACGCCAACGGTCGAGATCGCGGAGCGCGCGACGTTAAAGAGGCCAAGGTGACGCCGCTCCGACGACGAGGTTTACAATTTTTGTAAGAAATCTTAAGTGGGCTGTGACATATGTTTACGAATGCGTGTGTGTGTGTGTCGATTTGGTTTGGCCAAAGGCCAACATATTTTTCTTTCTTTTAACTATTTATAGATGCGTTACGCGCGCGGTGCGACACGTTTCCGCGATCAACGAGTAAATACTATTCTTATCAATCCTCGTCGATAATGAACTTCATATTTCGACCTAACTGAAAGCTTCAAATAAGCGAGCAGGCTCAATTTTAGCTAGACGAAGGTGAGTTCGACATAAGTCCTACACAATCTGATCCACATTTCCAAGTGGAATGACACCCAGGTGGTCAATTAGGCGGCGGATCAGCGCAAAATGCACAACTCTCATTAGGAAAGTACCATGGGGTCGATAAGTGGGGGGCAAGGCATTGATTGAATCGGAAGAAGAGGCTAAATAAGAGCGAATACCTACGCTATAATTAAGGGGACATCCTGAATCTGTACGAAATCCACATCTTCATGGTCCAACAGGAGTCGACGCGACGCCTAGGTATTGAGTTAGAGAGTGAATTGGTGAGAAGAAGCGTGGAAAACACAATGGAAGCACATTCATTATCATTGGGTGGACGTCAATGCGCCTAGGCGTTCAGTTAAGGGATAAAAGAGAAAAGAGCGGGCACATACGCCATCATTAGGGGAACATAATGAGCCGAGACAGCCACTAGGGGCAGAAAATGCTCAAGTAAGCACAATTAGGGCATCCTGAATTGATATGGAACCTTGACGTTCAATTGATGAGTGAAGTGGACCATCTAACCTAAAGAGTTGAGACAATGCCTAGGCGTTTAGTTAGAATGAATTGTCAGAGAAACAGTTGCCTATGCGTTGGGTTAGGAAGTGCACGGCCCCTTTCCTTCGCAAACAGGTTCAGATCCCGATCTTCTTAATAAAAGATAGAACCATGTTTAGCCTAGGTTGCTTCGGCCTCCTCGGTTCCAGATAACTGTAGCCAAAGAGCTGATGACTTGTCTCTTGTCAAGGCATCACATTGGCAGACCATATGCTCGGTAGTTTCATCTACCTCGCCACAGAACCTGCACTCCACAAGCCCTTATGCAGGTGATAGAAGTTTAGAAAACCCAGATTTGGCATAGGGTCCTGTTAGAAAGGGCCCGGACCATTCCTTGTTGCTACTGAACCTTGAATGAACTGGTCACTAAATCTTAAATCCTGACTCTGAAAACCTAGGGACCAATTCCTAAAGTAAGCTCAACGAAGACCCCACCACTGCCTACGCGAGCCAGCACGTCTTCCCTTCGTTGTCCCCTATTTCGCTGTGCGCTGGCACCCGGATCAAGCGAATAGAGAATATGATGTGCGAGGAGGTATTAGAAGCGTAGATTAAGCCTTAGAAAGGTTAGGTTTGAGTTTTAGTTATGATACGTCGTTTAACCACATCCCCGCACATTATACACTTCTGATACAAGATTTCTCACCTAACCTAACTAGCGCTCTAACCTAACCTCACTAATACTTTATGGTAACCTTCAATCTCCTCGCACATTATATTCCCCTGATACAAGCTTTCTCACCTAACCTAACTAGCATTCTAACCTAACCTCACTCATACCATAAAATAACCTTCAATCACCTCCTCGCACATTATATTCTGATACAGGATTTCTCACTTGACCTATCACTCTAACCTAACCTCACTCATACTTTAACATAATCTTCGATCACCTCCTCGCAAAATTAGGTTAGCTGAGAAATTTTGTATCAGGAGAATATAATGGGCGAGCAGGTGGTTAAAGATTTGATTAAAGTAATAATGTAGTTAGATTAGAGTGTTAGTTAGGTTAGGTGAGAAATCTTGTATCAGGAGAATGTAATGTGGAAGGAGATTGAAGGTTAGCATAAAGTATTAGTGAGGTTAGGTTCGACTGCTAGTTAGGTTAGGTGAGAAATCTTGTATCAAAAGAACATAATGTGCGAGGAGGTGATTGAGAGTTATTTTAAGATATGAGTGAGGTTAGGTTAGATTGCTAGTTAGGTTAGGTCCTTCAACCACCTCCTCGCACATTATATTCTCCTGATACAGTATTTCTCACCTAACCTAACAAGCACTCTGACTTAATCTCACGAATGCTTTATCCTAACCTTCAACCTCCTCGCACATTATATTCTCCTGATACAAGATTTCTCACCTAACCTAACTAACACTCTAACTTAACCTCACTAATACTTTATCCTAACCTTAACCTCCTCGCACATCATATTCTCCTGATACATGATTTTTGACCTAACCTAACTAGCACTATAACCTAACCTCACTATGACTGTATCCCAACCTTAACCTCCTCGCACATCATATTCTCCTGATACATGATTTCTGATCTAACCTAACTAGCACTCTAACCTAACCTCACTATAACTTTATCATAACCTTAACCTCCTTGCACATCGTATTCTCCTGATACATGATTTCTGACCTAACTTAAGTAGCATTCTAACCTAACCTCACTCATACTTCATCAGTGACAAATTCTAATGTGACGCGTGTAGGTGTCAATGAATTGTTTGTGTAGGATTGTTTTATTTTAATTTAAGTTTTTTTTGCTATACTCTGATATCTATTTTTTTTTCTATTATGTCTACTTCTCTAACTGAGGTTCAGTGGAAGAACAAACATTTTTTGAACTGCGCCTCAAGATTGTCTTTTCCTTTTTTTGTTTGTTATATCTATTCTGTGTATCTTTTATATCTTGCATGGCAGGAAACGACAATAAAGACCTTTATTATTATTATTACTTTAAAATAACCTTCAACCACCTCCTCGCACATTATATTCTCCTGATACAAGATTTCTCACCAAACCTAACTAGCATTCAAACCTAACCTCAATCATACCTTAAAATAACCTTCAATCACCTCGCACATTATATTCTCCTGATACAGGATTTCTCACTTGACCTAAACTAACCCTCTAACCTAACCTCACTCCTACTTTAAAATAACCTTCAATCACCTCCTCGCACATTATATTCTCCTGATACAGGATTTCTCACCTGACCTAACTATCACACTAACCTAACCTCACTCATACTTTAACATAATCTTCGATCACCTCCTCGCAAAATTAGGTTGGCTGAGAAATTTTGTATCAGGAGAATATAATGTGCGAGGAGGTGGTTAAAGATTAGATTAAAGTATTACTGTAGTTAGATTAGTGTTAGGTTAGGTGAGAAATCTTGTATCAGGAGAATATAATGTGGAAGGAGATTGAAGGTTAGTATAAATTATTAGTAAGGTTAGGTTCGAGTGCTAGTTAGGTTAGGTGAAAAACCTAGTATCAGGAGAACATAATGTGCGAGGAGATGATTGAGAGTTATTTTAAGGTATGAGTGAGGTTAGGTTAGAATGCTAGTTAGGTTAGGTCCTTCAACCACCTCCTCGCACATTATATTCTCCTGATACAAGATTTCTCAAGTAACCTAACTAGCACTATAACCTAACCTCACTAATACTTTATCCTAACCTTAACCTCCTCGCACATCATATTCTCCTGATACATGATTTCTGACATAACCTAACTAGCACTCTAACCTCACTATAACTTTATACTAACCTTAACCTCCTGGCACATCATATTCTCCTGATACATGATTTCTGACCTAACCTAACTAGCACTCTACCCTAACCTCACTATAACTTTATACTAACCTTAACCTCCTTACACATCATATTCTCCTGATACAATATTTCTCACCTAACCTAACTAGCACTCTAACTTATAACCTCACTAGTATTTTATCCTAAGCTTCAATCTCCTCGCACATTATATTCTCGTTTTGCAAAAGTAATGGCGTCTACTCTATTTTGTCATTATAATAATACGTTTTACCCCCAATACTTAGTGTCTGCTCGTCCTCTGCCATCTTTCAACTGGAGTCTTAGAGCGACGAGATCCCTTAAACACGATATCAACCATTAGATAAGGGTCGATTCGTCTATCGACATAAATTCAAGCCCTCCGGTTCAGTTGGCTCGCCCTCTTATAATAAAAGAGCATTTAGAATATGTCATTTTTTTAGAGACTCCTCAACCCGGCACTGCAATTTTTAGTTACCCTATACGTAAAGTAGGCTAAGATAGGGAAAAAAGAATATAAGCAGAGCCATCTTTTATTTCGAAGTAACGGACGTATCGCACTACTGTTGAATTTCGGTAGTAGTCGGCTAGGACTGGGTGGTACAATTATAACTTCTATCTACGTTGTGTTATCCAAACCTGACAATACAAAGCATATCAAATACATCTACGATTCAATTTAGGTCAAATAAAACAACCCCTAAAATGATAAATTGCATGTACATAAAAAACATCAAAATGGCATCGGCTCCTATTGATTTAACAAGAAAAAACGCAAGTAGTATTAATGTCAATGTCAATTATAACAAACAGAACCACATTCTAAACAGAAGGAAAGTTAATTAGTGGACCCCCCTTCTCGTATTGCTTATGCACCGCCGAGCAACGGGCACGAGAGAGAGGGAGGAAGCCACATGATACAGCGAGGAATCGGAATTGTACGAGGTCGAGAACATAAACGGTTAGTCGACACATACAGGGCAATACCACACTGATCATCTAGTTCGACGTCAACACAAATAAAAACTTCTTTTCTAATTCTTAAAATTAGATTTTTTGGGAATCCTAAAGGGACCTTTACAATTATATCTCGAATTTTGCTTTGTCTTCTACAGGAACTGGAGCTCTCAGCAGAGATCAGTGGGCCGTTTATTGAAGTTGCACCGCTCACGCTCGATTTCGGCACTTGCGTGTTCAACTCCGTCTACCAGCTCAACTTCAACATCCGCAATACTGCTCATCTGCCCCATGGACTCGAGGTCAAATTCCCTTCGAGCTTGGCCAAGCATCTCCTCACCAACGCTAACAACATAATCATCCAGGCGGAGAGTGTCAACACTTACTACGTGAAGTTAATTCCGAGGTAAACTCCCCCCTTCTGTACAGCTAGGATATTCTTTCCACACACCATCAGGTCGGAAATGATGGAAACCAAATTTTACACGCCCGAAACGCGGATATTGGAATTTCCGGTCTACGTGTGCCTGTCGTCGAAGGTGCCACCTTGCAAGATGGTGGTCACCTCAATACTGACCGAGGCGAACGGGCTGACGATCTCGTGCGACGACATGCGCTTCGGCAGTTCGGTGATCGACATGGGCGTCTGCACCACGGCCGAAACTGTCTACACCACGCTCAATCTCACGAACAACTCCCACGTCTTCCAAGTCTACGGATTCGTCGATTTACCCGAGGTAACCTCCGGAGTGCGCAATCGCCTAACGTTTCCTTAGACCATTCAGGTGTCGCCCGACTGCGGGTTTGGAGAGCTCCGGCCGTTCGAGACCAAAACGCTCACGATGGCTTTCAGTCCTGAACCGGGCGACTCCTTTGGCTACGGTTTGACAGTGGAGACGCTCAAAGGTCTGGGCGCGATCGGCGAGTTAAAGTCGGTGAGTTCGCGCACTCGGAGCTCCGTCGGAGGTGGTCGTACTCAGAGGTTTTCCTACAGACGCATCAAGAGGGCGGTGCAAGCGGTGCGTAGTGAGTTGGAGCGAGAGTCCGTCGAGCCCTTGGTGGAGATGATGATCGAGTTTCTCGTGTTAGCGGGACGGGTTGAGAATTTTGTTGCGGATGCGCCATTGGTGTTCGACGCCTCCTTGGAGGATCTCCACTATCCGTCGGTGGAATCGGAAGTGAATCTTCGGGGAAATGCGATATCGGTGCGAGCGCAAGTGGTTGCGCCGTTGTGCGACTTGTCGCACCAGTGGGTCACCTTTCCAGATACCCCTTGCGGGTCGTACTCACTCATGGGCATCGAATTGCGCGCGCAGTCTGGCATTGAGGGCGCCAGCTGCGTGTGCGGTTATGAGAGGAAGCGCTCCGCCTGCAAGAGTCACATGGAGTTCGAGGCGCGTTTTAAAATTGTCGGTGATACGTCTGGGATTAGCGTTGAACCTAGTTGCGGCCTCCTCAAAGCAGGCGAAAGGCTCAAGCTGACACTGGTAGCGCGACCTGAGCTCCCCAAGGAGTTGGTGACGGAGACAGCCACCGAGTTAAAAGCACGCCAGCTGCTTCAGAAGAAATTGGACGAGTGGTACTTGCAGCAGAAGAAAAAAGCACCGACGGTGGAGCCGCCCGAATTTGAAATTGATCGTAGTGCTATTGTCATTGAAACTTCCGATCTATACCCCGCTGAAGTTGAGGCTTCAAAACTCGTAGACCCCTTCCGTATCACCGCGAAGTTTTGCTGCACAATCTCCTACTCCAGCTCCCAATTGTAAGCCTTGCAGTTTTACACTAAATCAATTTACTTTCTCAGTGTAAGAAGCCCCGAAAAGCTCTACTTCGTGGCGGATTGCCAGGCAACCAGGCCCAGCTTCGTTCACAACCTCAGCAGTCAACAAATCGACTTCGGGACTGTCCTGATCGGCACCTCCTCCAGAAAGATCATCTCGCTACACAACATATCAGGTAGATCACAAACCTGGACTTCTAAAGCATCAAATTTTATTTTAGACCAATGGATTAGACCAACCGCCACCCATGTCTCGCCCACCGGCTGCTTTAGTCTGCCGAACTTGGACGTCAGCCTACCACCGGAGCGTATCCTAAAACTGCCCCTAACCTTCAGGCCGGATCGAACAAAAAAGGTACTTAGAAGGAATTATATTCGACCGCCTTGTACTCGGTGCGGCCGGTTTTCGACTTGAAAACCCACGACTGCCTCTTGGATTTGGGGCACGTCCCGTGCTTGGGGTTGTATCGGCCAACGCCCGGAAAAATCCTCCAGGGAATCGGAGGGCGGGCATACGTCACCGATTGATTGAACGGGTGAAGACTCTTCCGCCACACTCTCGGTCTGTAAAATAAAGTGAGATAGTAGACGTGTGCGGGTGGGGTACCTCGAGATGTCGTAGGTGCACGGGCTCGGGTCGTCCGGATCACGTCTCACTTGGGTGGGATCGTCGATCATGTGCCTCATTGTCGCAATTCCGAACCTCTTCTCGTTCAAAAATCGACCGCGCGTTTGGTTTCGGGGGTGGTTGAGGAAGACGTCCAGCTCAGCGGGGTAGACGTTGAAGAAGTTGATCGGTCCCTTAAACGTGGGAGGGGCGAAGTGGTTTTTTATGGTGGAGTCGTCCCTCGGCCCCGTGAAAAGATCGTAGGGGCCCCTTTTGGAGACGACCTTATCCATCAGAGCGCGAAGGGAACCTCTATCCACCGGAGTGTACAGGTTAGGCGGTTTGGTCCACGGCTTATCCGCACTCTTGAAACGGTTCACGAAGCCGTCGCGCTCGAACGAGGGACGCGCGCTGAACTGCCGACGCTCCGGCGGCGTCGAGACGTTGTACGTACCCGGAGGCGGAATAATCGCCCTCGATTCCCTCGGAAACCTCGCGCGGACGCCGAAGCTTACGTTCTTCTTGCACGACGCGGACTGCCTCGCGAACACGCTGTCTGGGATGTCGTAGCAACCGGGACCTCCACAGGTGCGACGAAACCTCCTTTCTTCGAGCACCTCTGCGTTTCTAAAACCTAAATTCTTGGAGAACTCCTCCGTTTCGACCTTGCACTTCCAACCCGAACCGGTTTGCTTCGGCGGCCGCTCAAGATCGTAATCGCCGGGACCGACATTGGACCGATTCTTGCTCATCGTACCCAGGGGATCCAAACCGGGGTGGAACCCGATCGACTCGAACCTTTTGGAAGCGACCCCGAAGGGGGCGCGCGTTAGAAATGATTTACGACGCATTTGCGTGACTGATGTCAAAGTGACACATAAACTTGGCCGTAGATGATCGAGTATTTCGAAATACGCGCCGGCGACACAGTCTGGCCATTGGTCGTCGGCGGGGAAGGCGCGAACGCTAGCTTCACCATCGCGCCCGAGTTCCGCGTGTGTCGACTGGAAGCGGCGCATGGGGGATTCTCCGACTGCTCGATCGAGGTAAGTGAAGGAGTGCTTCGGCCAAAACAGAGATAAGTAGTTGTGGGGGTTCTTAACCAATCAAATTATAGTCTTTGGAGTCACTCTGTCCGGCATTATATTGCTTTATTTAGGTCTACGTGACCAACACTACTGATTTTGAGTTATGGCCCTAGCTCTCTTGTAATTTTGGGGCGGTAATCAATTAAAAAAGATAGGTAGGGATTAATCCGGAGGAGATTTTTGAAAGCATTCGATTTTGAGCCAGCGTGACACTCAGAGCGAACAATCATCGGGTTTTGGCCGTAGTAGAACTCAAATCTAAATCTTACCCCTAGAACGTCAAGTATTGGGTAAAAGATGTGGAGTTTTTCGGGCATTCGTTTTGCATCGTATTACTGCTCCAGTGGAAATCTGGGTTTCTGGGAATGGCCAATCGGAATTACTACATTATCCGGTCATATACTCAAAATACAGGAAAACCGCCAATCACAAAAACAATAAACGGTTACTTTTCAACGTCCATCAAACCATAAAAATCTCCGATTAACGTCCGTCTCTTCTATTTAAAACAAACTCGCTTTCCGAACCATCTGTGTTTACGTCGGCGAAAAAAACCTCTGCTTATCTGCACTATAATTAGCTTACACAGCGATAACGAGACTTCTTATCGCAACGGCCGTATTTACAAGGGATAACTTAACAAACCATTCACCAAATTAATTTCACATGTTCCTTAATTTACTAACTGAACAATAAAATAGACAGATCAAAAGGCAATTATTTAAACAAAATTTAAACATCCAATAGGTAATTCTAATACAACCAACACTTTACGTTACAAAGAAATGAAATTCACATACACGTTGACCCATCATTATTATAGGTTCTGGTGTCAAAGACGTAGTTCACACAACACATGCGCGGTCGAGGACAAATCAATTAAACGAGGCAGTGTAGTATTTTACGCTGCCAAGATTATTACTAACTTCCGGTGTTAAGTTACTTATTCGCAAAAACAACAAAAATAAGCGATTGACCTGTACGGCACACAAAAAACCATAAGGATTGTACACCCCCGCAACAGAACTTTAATTCGAGAAAAAAAAGCACGTTAAGATGAGAAACTAGTGCTCAAGTAGATAAAAGTGAAAACGTCACAGTGTTGCCACGATCTCACAGACATCAAAAGTTGCGTTCCGTTTTTCAACAAGTCGCGCACGTGATGAAAATGCGGGATTTGTATTGGGGGCATGCTTTGCACAAAAGGTCGTTTTCGTATTTGGGATTCGGCGAAGTACATAAGTGAAAATCTGGTGGGAGAGCGGCATCTTCGAAGAGAATCTTGGGTTCGCAACCGTAGAACGTACCACGATCTTGACGACATAGGTGCCCTTTCAATTTGTTGCGAGTTACCATTATAAGTAAATTAATAACACGTGGTTCGTTTGTGCAAAAAAAAGGAGAACCTCATTGCGTGGTGAAAGCGATAAGCGAATTTATTTGTAACCGTAAATATTGTGCGAATTGGTTTTGGCGTAAAATTCGTTGTATTATCGGAGCCTTTTTTTCGTATAAAGCAAATGACTAACAAGAAGGCGTACTTAGAGTAACAAGTTACGATAACAAAGCTAATTTATTAAACAAATTCGTGCATCTAAGTTAATTGTATGAAATATGAACAAAATTATGAACCAAACGGCTACCAGTAAAAAAGTTAAAGGCAATTAATTCTAGCTTTGATTTGCTAACCATAAATTGCACTGCGAATAAATCAAATTCAACTAATTAAATCAAAGGAAGCCTGGTACGGTTTGTTCCTGCGTCAACCATTTTTCGAAATTAATTTTCAACGAGAAATCCCATTTAACTGGTGGGTAATGCAAGAGGTCGATCTTATTGGTCAAGCGTTTCACTATCCGAGTTTCTTGTTGCGGTGACCCTTTACAAGGAGAATCCAACTGGCAATTGGAGAAAATCCAACCCCGTACCTTTGTTGTTCCTGCCTTATATAAACAACATTAGCTACCAAGCAAATGTAATAATTACAATTCGATTGTATCGAAAACCCATATGTAATCAAACGTTGAATCAAGCAATCGACCAAAATTTCAAAATTTACCTTTTGAACTACGGGTCGCAAAGGGCTTGTTGAGCCCAAAAAGGGCGGGTTCTGCAAATCGGTAACAGACAACAACACAAACAAGAAATAAAACGCTGCACAAAACGTGTTGCGAAATAGCAATGCTAACGTTTGACACTAAGTAGGTAAATCGGATATAATTACTGTAATTAATACTAAAAAAAAATCAATACTTCGAATGACTTTGCATTAGCAAAAGCAAAATTTTGATCGACTACGACTATAGTCCGGGTATAACAGCATAAAAGTGATTAAGTAATAACTAAGTAGCAAAACAATATAATTATAATTCAAGATGCAAACGAGCTAATACGAGCAAATTCTGTTGTTTGGTAGAATTAAAGTGGAATTTTCCCAGCCGGTAATGTAGAAACCTCCATGCGCGAAAATGGCGCGTCCAAATAAAAATGCCAAATCATCCACGTACTGCGTCGGTAATGCGTAAACACACAAGTAGGTCAAACGTAAAGGTAATCCAAAAGAAATAACGACAAGAAGGAGAGGAGAGAAAGGTAAGGAAAACAAAGCCGTAAAAAACACACGTAGGTAATGGGAAAAGAATGCTGCGTAATAATGTAACAATATTGGTAAAATGCAAAATACTAATCGGTAAAAACGTTTCGATGGAGTCACTAAGACATGAAAGAGAAAGAAAGAACCGCTCCAAAGATAATTATGGTAAAGTCAAAACACTAATGCCTGTTATCAGGTGTGACACGAAGCCAGTAAGAGTAATGACGTACCAAGAGACATTTACTTCTAATCAACTCGACGGCAGAAACTTCACTGAAAAGAAAGAGAACTTAAACTACGCAGGCAAGGGGATAGCATTAGAAATACCATGGTAGATACTGCGCGACCTCGGTCGGCGACACTAATAACTATAGCAAGTAGAAGGAAAACAAAGAGCCAAGGTAAAAGAACTCCTCTACGAAAATAAGTACCTTATACTAGTGACTAAAGAAGATATCTAGATGGCGTAACGATTTTGAATATACATTAGCGCAAGAATACTAAATAAAGATCACAAATCGAAACGTTAAATAAATTAAGAGCAGGCAAAAAAAATGTTACAAAATTAACCATTCCCCGTCATTTCTATATGTTGATGTTCCCGGTACTTTCTTGACAGATTTGGAACTGCACGAAAAATAACAAGCCAATAACCAAGTAGGTATGCGGTAGGAACGCAGTTATGTTTTAGTGGCGGCCATTCTTAGACCATATAGTACATGGACTGCTAATTGTAACTAAAATATGGTCAAGGACATCACCTGGGTATGTGCGTTTCAGGGTAAACGAGTCTGTCCGAAATTGTCCGTTGAGACACGATTTGACGCTGTCAACCTATAAATTAACAAACGTCAATTAATTAAATGCCTAATGGCAGAAAAAGCAAACCTATTCTTATTTGCGGACGTATAGAAGATAATCAAGAGTATTTAAAGCTTCCCGTAATACGCGGTTACTATAAAAGCTACTCTTTACGCGCTCCGAGTGGTGTTTACACGACTTTAGTTTACCCTGAGATTCACATACCCACGACTACAGTGCCCTCTATCCGTGACCACCCATTTTGTATTGAAAGCATAGGGCTAATAGCAGTCCATGTACTATATGGTCTAAGCGGCCATTATCCAAGCACGTGACCGAAGCGTGGCTACCACCACAAGGGTGTTCTCCATTTTGGTAACCACCGCGTGGCGGCAGTAATTTTGGCAATGAATAAAGAATACCAGGAAGGAGCATTAATCAAGTTGTATACGAGAGAAAGTGCGACGGAAGTCGGCCATTTGCAAAAGCCACTTATGAGTCATTTTTGTTGTAGTTGTTGCAGTGACATAAAAATAATGGTTAGTTGTTGTGCTTGTGGTTGCTCCAAAACCGAAAAAAATAAAAGTTTGGGAATTACATTTCATGTGTAAGTATTGATACCAATATTATTTTTACATAGTACATGTAAATTTACAAATTTTTTATCGGAATGTAGTTTGAGGTTAGTTAAACAAAAGTCATAGGCGGAGTAGACACATGGGGGTTTATATTGTTTTCGTGTAAAATTCTTTATAATTGTATCCTTTTACAACTGTAAGGTAGGTACGCCACTGGAACAGGAAACTATTATCCGCCATTTGCAATAGCCATCGCGGTCGCACGTATATTGTTGATATTCTCCTTCCTGGTATTCTTTATTCATTGAATTTTGGTAATAGCTTTTAATATTGTTAATTGAATTGGTGGCCGCCACGTGATCCTCTCTAAAATGCTCCTTGGGACCAAGGTTAATAGAGAAAGTAGGTTGCCTCGTAACTTTCAGCCAATAAACGTTCAGTATTAAAATACGCGAATGACGTCACCCAGAATCCCATTTTGTCCACATCATAAAAATTAATTATTAACACAACAACAGAGCAAATTCAAAAAATGCAAAATGGTATCTACTTTACATGGATGTGCTGAAAAGTTCCTGCATTGCATAGAAAAAAACATGCTAGCGAAGTATTAAACACACTTTATTCAAAATAGCTTACATTTCATCTTCATAGTCTTCGGCCGGGAAATGCAGACTGCACAGTCTATTGCATACGGGGTTCAGGTTCCCCTTTCCATTGCTCTTTAAAACCCATTCTTTTTGTAATACACGAATATGCTTTTGGAAAAGCAAAAAACTGAATCTGCTAATCCATTTGCTTTCGATTTGTTGGAGCTGCTATTGCATATAACAACGTCACAAAGATTTCCATCCGGCATCTAATACCCTATTATTGATACCTACTTAAGTAACAGTAAGTATTCAATCGAATTATAATAAGTATTCGTTATAGAGTCTTCAGCACTGTCTGACAATTAAGTACTTACACAGTTCAAATATAACTGTCAAACTCAACGAAAATTTTAACACCAATCAAATGGGACTTCCAGATTCTCGATGACGCGTCTCTCTAAAGTTACGAGGCAACATACTCTCTCTACTAACCTTGGCTTGGGACAGAATTTTCCGGTTGTGCGGATAACGATTCGTTTATATAAAGCGGTTATACGGCTTTGGGTTGGAACTTTCAAAGGTGACCACCACTCACATATTTCGCCTTGGTAAGAATTTCGCGTTACGGGCTTACGTTACGTAGGGTTGCCTCGAACGCCTTTCTCCCACCCAATTTTTACTTATGCACTCGTCGAACTCGAATGATGTCACCAAAACGATAGAGGAAGTAGAAAACTTGAATCAACATTGGCAATTTGTTACGTCTAGGTTAACAACACATCGCCGGCTCCCCTGGCGCTTACAATCGTCCAACTCTGCGAGTTAGAGGGAGCGATCACATCAGGTGTAGCATCTCCGAAGAAGAAAGAGGTCACCAAAAAGTTTTCGCAAGACCTTACCGAAGGCGAGGAGAGCTCCATCCAAGAATTCTTCAAACTTGCGCAAGGCGAATCACGCTTTCGACTGATGGGCACGGACGATCAAGTACTGTCCATCCAACCGCTAGAAAAGAAAGTGATGAAAATTCGGTTCGAGACACCTCGCTCTGCTCAGGGCCCGAAAGTAGGAAAAGGGGCACCGCGGCCGCCTCCGCTGTCTTACGTTGCTAAATATAATATTCTGTTAGGCACTTCGACCTTTGTACAAGATGTAATAATAATTGCAAAGTTTAAATAAATTTATTGCAGATAACTCATAAATGTGCAGATAGCCCGTCCCGTTCACGGAACACGTCCCTAATATGCCTAGACAGTTTGCCGTCTTCCAGGCTCGTTGCCACATGTTCAACGAGCGCCAGGTCAGCTTGTGAAATGTGAGGCACTAGTGCGAACATGTTCACAATCTGAAAACGAGGCGGATACAGCCCCGCCCCTTTAATCTCAATTTTGGGCAAATTTTCTAAAACTAAACATTAGAAGGATGTGCACGCCAGGACATACCCACCGAAGATTTGTGGCAGCAAAGCTGCGAGTGCGTCCCCGAACTCCTCGCTCGCCATACGCGACAACAGAGAGAGACAGTCGACCACTTCCAATGAAATGGTGGACTCGCACAGCAGTTTAGGCAAATCGCGCAGCCACGCCCTGTACGCCACCAACCCGTTCAGAGTAGACAAGTGAACAACGTTCGCGAGCAACTTGATTATCTCAACGTTGACCTCGACGCTCAGCTGATTGTGCGCGTAAAAGTGAACGACGCCACCTAGCAGAAGATCGAGATTAATCTTGCGCTTAGCCCAACTGCTCGAATTCTCGAAGAAAATCACGCGGAGCGTTTTGAGCAGAACGTCCACGTTTCCACCGCGCACGTAATTCCGGTTCATCAGGCACACTGCAAAATACACATTTAAGCACTGGGACCGGAAACGGGCGGGGGCGCACCGTTCAGATACGAGACAACCTGCGCGGCCCTCTCCGCCAAATTCTTGTTCGTCAGGTTTTTGTAGAGCGCCGAAAACATGTAGCATATTACCAGATTCTCCCCGATGCATTTCGGATCGTTATTCGCATCGACCACCACCTGCGGCCTCTTTCTTCCCTTAATCTTACCGGTCTGCGCGTCTTTCTGCGCGTAGGGGAAGAACGAGAAGACGTGGCTGAAATACTTCTGATTGTCATTGGTCAGCAGTTTCTGGCCCTAAAACGGGAGTTTAAAGGCGGTGGTTGTCGACAAGGCGAAGGATACCAATTGCTTATCCGATTCGTGCAACAATTCCCAGAATAGATGAAAAATGCCCAGGGTGCAACGCAGAATGGACGCAGTGTCGTTGTTGATAATTGTATTTTCTGAAATGAAGAAATTGCGGTGAGGTTTTCGATTCAAAAGTGTAGTTGGTACTGGGCAAGCGTGACCTAGGTGCGCAGTCATCAATGTTTCAGCTCTGCGCATGCGCGACCTGGAATTGAATATTCGCATGCGCACATTGTCCACTCCCCACCTGAACCCACCACCCATCGCACGACAACAGAGTCTACTGAAACAAAACAAATCAAATTACCTACCCTCCTCTTCCTGTTTATCCGGTTTCGGCAGCGCCTCGACCCAGGCTTCGTTCAGCAACGGTATCAGCACGTCCAAATGCTCCGAAACGCTACCCTCGCTCCTTTGCGCGCCCCCTCCGAACTTCCAATAACCGAACGCGACCCTTTCCACGTTCGGTCCGCCACCACCGCCGACCGTCTCCTCCTTCCCTCTCGCTCTTCCGTCAACGATCGCCTTCAGAATACCCTCCAGCCTACTCAGCACGTTAATGCGCCATCGAATGCTCGTCGACGAGCCCTGCAGGTTGAGCGTGAGCGTGCGCGACGGGTTCGATTCGCTGCGCAGTTTCGAGATAAGCCTAAGAAAATTGGGGAACAGTCGCAGATAGTGCTTGGCGATTAGCGACGGGATGTTCTTCAGGAACGCGTCGATTATCAGTAGGGAATCCTCTTGCACGCCGACGTCGAGATGTGTCATCGCGCAGACGGTGTACATTATCAGTATCTCGAAGAACGGCTCGAGTTTAATCAAGGACACCTGCGAGGATTGCATTAGTAAACACGCGATCTCGGTGTGTAGGCGCACATGTGTGCTTTTGTGGGATGTGTCATGGAAGCAAGCGATCTTGTTCCGAAACGACTAATGTGGGAAGTGCAGTATCTGTATATCTGCATGTAGAAAGAAATTTACAAAGCTAGTTTTAAGGCTCTTCACAACCTTAATAGACTCAAAAAAGCCTTTACAAGCTCATAGAAGACCTTAAAGGTTCTTCAAGACAACTCTAATTCTATTAAAGGCTCTCTAAGTCTCTAGACCTTGGAGCACTGACAATCTTTGAAGGCTCATAGAGACGCTTATACCATTACAGGTTCTTAAAAAATTTAACAGGCCTTTAAAAAGCCTTTGCAAACTCATATAAGGTCTTAAAAAGCCCATCAAGAAAAGTTTAAACACTCTAAAAGGTTTTTAAAGGCTTTTTTAATTACAAAGAACCTAAAAATCTATCTCAAAGCCCCTAGGGCGTAGAAGACGTTTGGAATGTCTCAGAGAAAAACCTTTGGTGACCATAGAGACTGTTAAAAAGCCTTTAGAAGACTTTTATAGATTCTTGGAAGCTTTTAGAAGCTGTTTGGAACTCTTACATGCTCTTACCCAGGTGTGGGTAAAGGGTACATAAGGTGGTTTGCTTCCACTACCCGAAACCCGCTCACCTTCGCGAGAATATCGCCGATGAGCTGCACGGCCAAACGACGAACTTTCGCCTCTCTGTCCAACAGCAGTTTCGACACCCCCTGCAGTAAAACGTGTAACTGCACTTCGACAAGCTGGGGGTCGGTCGACTTGATCAGCTCGGAGAGATCGTCACATCCCGACGATTTAACGTTGACGTTGTGGTGGTTGAGACGTGTCAGCAGCTCCTACGAGTCGGATGTTAGTGAGGGGGAGTCGGTGGGGCTGTTACCTTAAACGTTAAGTTTCGCTTGGAAAGCGGTTGTTCCGTACTCTTCTCCTTGAGCTGTGTCTGTATGACGATCGGTTTGATTTTGAAGTCAGTCTTCGTGACATTTCCGCCTTTGGGGAGAAATTTCGTTTTATGCTTTAGGGCGGTTTTTAATTTCACTTTGGTTTTCTCTGCTTTTTTGGCTTTGGATTTGACCATGTTTGATTAAAGTGAGGTTATAAATTCAATTTTTCAAATCGCACCATGATGAATTGTATACAAGGTGTTGACATATATAAGGTGCGTCAATACTACTCTCATTAGTTTTGGTTAAATATAAGGGATTTGTAAAACGTTATTTATAAACTACGTTGACGTTGCGTCGATTTCTTTATATTTAACCACGAACTGCTGCAGCAACAGAACGTTAACGTCAAATTTCTAACTTTGTTGGTCCCTTCTCACGAAGAGCCCAGAAAAAGAGGGTTTGCTGGAATTATTGTTCATAGAATTCCCACGAGTATAGCGGTCTGATCTGTGGGCATAGCCGCTTGTCCAAGCCTTGGCGGTCAGCCCCTTCTCGAATGAAAGAGACCTTTGTCGGGTTTCAGCTCCGACGAGCCACTTATAATCTTCACCACCCCACCGAAGCACGCGATCAGTCAGGTGCATGTATGAAGGTCCCCCTATCCGCCACCCGGAGACGCGTCCGTTGAGTGCCTCCACCACGAGGGGTGAGTAATATCTTGGCGCTGCACGGGTATAAAATAGACGCCATTTGGAATTATATGCGGCTATGCTGCGCTGCTACTTTTTTCAAAACAGCGCCTGCCTTTCTCATAGATCCATTTGGTGAGTGTAGAAACATTTTAAAAACATTGAACATGAAGAAAGGTTTGAAAACGGGTGTAGAACCCCTTGGAAAGACCAAGTGACCTCTTTTAGATGGCTTGAAAACCTTCCTAGGGCCAAAAGAGCGCAAAAAGTAGAACGATAAGCTCTTAAGGTAAAGATCTAGTAGCGACACAGCGCCGTAGGGACGGACAGACGACCGGACAGTGGTCACAATAGCGCATTTTTTATTTTTGTGACTATGCGCTAAAAAAGAGTTATAAATCTACGGTAAAAGAATGCCTTGAAAACTAGAATGTTGTGAAAGCCTTAGACGTCTCAATCAAAAGTTATGGACAAAAAAAATTCCTGTTTTTAAAATTCTTATTTTCGTTATTTCGTGAAAGGCAGGACGCAGGTACCTCACCTCAGTACCTGATACCTATTTGTTATTTTGGGCATCAATGTAGCGAATTGCCGATCGATGCCGAATAGTCAAATCGTTGACTGCCAACACTGATCACTCACTGAATAGTGAATACTGAATACTACAGAATATTTAGATTTTAGTGACTTTAGACTTTAACCAAAACCAAAATTGCTCTCTATATATACCTATATATTATTGCCTTTATTTTAAAGTGGGCGGAGCGGATAGTATTACCTAAATACCTAATAGCATTGAATAAAAAACACTATAAGAAGCCTAACCCCGTGGAAATAAAGCGCGACAGAGTTTGAACTGAGAATATAATGGGAACACTGTCAATAGAGTCGATTCTTGAACTGAGAAGAATGAGAATTTGCTTTCCTCCTATTTACCGCAAAGAGAGTTCGGTGGTCACAACCAATGCGGGTGCAAGGGGATTTGTGAGATTTGTCGCGCTTTCTTCCATAAGCGTTAGGCTTCTTATAGTGTTTTTATTCAATGCTAATAGGTATGATGATAACTCAATGGGGGGGGGGGGGGGGGGGGGGATATCCCCTTCATCCCCCCCCCCGTAAATACGCCACTGGGTAGGTATTCCAAAAACCCTCAAAAAATTGTCGATTCGGTTGATCAAGTACATTTCATACGTTGAAATTTTTTGCAAAGGACCTGCACATTATTTTTAAATCTTTTTTAAACAAAAATTGCCGTTAAACCACAGGAGGGAGTGCAGGCATCGATTTTAAGTCCGTAAAAGTGGCCTATTCGGGATTTCCGGTCGTTTAAATTCCGATGCGCAGTTAAGAAACGACCCTTGAGAAACACCATGGGATTTACTAATTACGTGAAAAAGGGCCACAGAAATTTGACTAGAGTAATGACATTAAGATTCATTCTAATTGTAAATGAGATCACAAAATCTCCAGATGCTTTTCTTATTGCGCAATTACAACATCTGCGTAATTACATAACTATACCTGATGAATGGAGGACAAAAACCAAGACTGATATGGTGACATAATATTCCATTCAGTTCTCAATAAAATGGTTTTGAAATACGTCGTATTCCTTTTCCTCTACACCCAACTTTCCCATGGGAAGCGAACCTATGGCTACTACCACCAGCACCAACGCACCCACCCCCAGCAGCTCCACTACATCGGCAAAGTCACCCACTACTACAGCGTTCACCATTACTTCATGCATCCGGAGGATGTGAGCAAAACCTTCGATCTACCCGGCGAAACCACGACCGACTGCGAGGCCAGCATCGACGAAATCCTCTGCATACCCAACTCCTACCTGATCTGTTTATCCAACGGTACCCTACTTTGCGTGAGCGACATACAGAACGTAGTCTCGTGCGGCTTCGAGGTGCCCCCGGGCATTGCCTTCAAAGAGGAGTGCGCGGAGAAATGCGATCCCACGGTCAGCAACACGGACATCTGTATGCCGTGCATCGCGAATATCACGTTGGTCATCAAGAAATTTGTGGGAAGCCACGTGATCGAGATGAGAAACGGGCTGTGCCTCACCGTACTCGCAGAACCACACAGGCTATCGTCAACTGTACACGCCACCCTCTCCTACATTTACAGCCGAATAAAACATTACATGGATAAGGTGGGAGAAATGCTCCCCAATTATTAGATTAACGTATGTAACAAGCATCTTACAAAGTAAAGTTTCGTACAAAACTACTTCTTCTTTTTTTTGGACGGCTCGCCGGAGTCACCCGAACGTACCTTCTGCCATTGCAGGGGCCTACGGCGGTAAATGGGCCACGGCGGAATGGTAAGCTGGAATTGTAACTGAAGCGTGTGCGTCGCGCGACTGGTCAACTTACAATTGCCGCCAGCAGGAATCCGGCCGCTAGAATGTAGACTGTTTGGGAGAACTGCTGGATGATGTAGCCCCAGATGACGCCGACGGCACCGAAGAGCGTTATGATCACCCTGGAGTACTTCTCGGCCCTCGACTGGCCCTCAAAGTCCTAAGCAAGTGTGTTCAATGGGTGAATTGTGGCCCGAATTGCCCTTACCATGTGCGTGGGAATGGAGTTGATAAAATCCATGGTCTTTGTACAGCTTTGGGAGTGTTGTAGAATAATTTTAACCAATAAATTTACACGTCAGTATTTTCAAGCTAATCAGTAAGCTACCCAATAGCCACTAATGACTAATGGCGGGGCGGTGTCTCCGGTACATGCTTAGACCATATAGTACATGGACTGCTATTAGTCCTCGGTCACTGGCGGTCACGGATAAAGGGCACTGTAGTCGTGGGTATGTGAATCTCAGGGTAAACTAAGGTAGTATGAACACCACTTGGATCGCGTAAAGAGTAGCTTTTATGGTAACCGAGTAGTAAGGTAAGCTTTAAATACTTACTCTTGATTATCTTCTATACGTCCACAAATAAGAATAGGTTTGCTTTTTTTGGCATATCTAGGCATTTAATTAATTGACGTTTGTTACTTTATAGGTTGACAGCGCCAAATCGTGTCTCATCGGACAATTTCGGACAGACTCGATCCACCCTGAAACGCACATACCCAGGCGATGTCCTTGACCATATTTTAGTTACAATTAGCAGTCCATGTACTATATGATCTAAGGGTACATGGTATCTGGGTATCTCGTTTTTGTTTGGTCGTTGATTCCAGTCCGGTCGTCATTTTAGATTTGTAATGCCCCTAAACCCCTTTGAACTCTAAACAGGTTAAGAAAAACACTAGAAGATTGTCTGAAGCCTTTCGGAGCTCTTTAGCTGCTTCCCAGAGCAATCTACATAACATTTCATCGATCGGCCAAAGCTTTTATGCCGTTTTAGAGCTGTTCAGGCCGATGTCGGAACATGTGATCATTTTCTAGACCCTGTTGATTTTTCTAGGTGCCTTCCAGAACTCCATGTCGCATAATGTTTTGATTACATGGATCAGTGCTTGATTGAAAGTTCAAATTATATAGATTTGGCCATTCGTTTAAATTTGTGAAGATTATCGAATTGTTTGACGTTTGTATGGACTTTGTAAGATACAGGTAACAAGATGGGAAATGCTGTAACAAAACGAGTTACGACAACTAAGGCTGTGATTGTTCTTGAATCTCAACTGTAGGCTTGAATATCCCGCACTAGGGACAAGTTACAAGTCCCAGGGGCGAGAATCTGCTAAGAATTAAAAACCTTTTGATTTCGAATCTGTAATGTACAGTACACAGGGTGATTCCGGAAGAAATGGAAATAGCTCACAACATGTCTAGGAAGCAAAAATAAACCCTATTTTCACTTATTTCAGAGATATTTTGACCAGTACCTAGTAATTTATAAAATAAAAGAAAAGTGTGAGATGCCCCAACCTTAGCAACGTTCGGTGAATATGATTGTCGATACGAAGCACCCTATACATCATGTTAGTTGCACAAGCTGCCAACCGAAATCTGGTGGGATTACAGGAAAGGGAAAGAGAGCGAAGATGAAACGGATGGAATTTCTTGTAAGACACATGTGTTTACAATTTCAAACACCTGCAGCACAGCTTACTGATAGTAAGTAAGTAAGCTGTGCCTGCAGTCCACTTTTTTCTTAGAAATGCAGGGAATGGGCGATTTTCGGGTGGTTTTTAGGGGTATTAGCAGATCAAATTACCGCGTGGCTTGGGTTGGTCAAATAAATAGGATTTAACATGTGTGTTTATGGTCTTTGTCTTGTAACCGGCTGAAGTGTAAAGTACGGCTTGTCTTGAAATATTTTGTTATACCTTAATCATTAGCTGTGTGCTTTTGCTTTTTTATATCAGGTGAGGTATTTGCTTTATTCAATTAATCTATAAATGTGTGTAACTTGAATGCAGATTGTAACACTTTACTTCTGTACTTACTTACTGAATTTAATCACTTGTACCTTTAATGTGTAACCTTTGTTGGTATTGGCAATCATGTTTCATTGTGCTGTACATACTTGCATGTGTACATATTTAATTTGTGTATTGTGCTTTTTAGTCACTCTCGATTATTTCATTGCATTTCATTATATTTGCTTATGTGGGGCTGTGAGTAATCAAGAGGAAAGTGTGCTTGTTTAGAGGGGATCGAGCTATTCAAGTTTATACGGCCTTGGTGAACCTAACACTAACATTTTCACTCGTTCCGAACCCAACAACTTTAGCCCACGTCTACAGGCACTCCACTGGGCCTGGGTACTCCTCCCGCCCGGCGAGGTATATTTGACATCTCTTAGTTTTGTCCGATGTATGTGTTGTAATACCTGGGGAATGGCTCGATCCCATTTTGGTTACTCATAGCGTGTTTGTAGTAGTTACCCCGGTTTCGAGAGGGCTCAAAAGTGCTGTACATTGGATGTTGTTCATTATAGGACTACTCCGAATTAGGTTTTCCTAATTCGTAAGGTAAATGCCGGAGTAGTATAGAACCACTTAAGACCCTCTGCAGGGGCACCGTTTTGGTATTAGCTGCAATATAAACTTAATCAACTATTGCTTTTGGTGTTCCTTACCCATAAAACGCCCTCAATGCCTGCTGAGAACCCAGTTATTACACAACGTAGGTGTCCTACATGACGATCACGATCTTAGTGCACTCGGAGTGGCCCCAGAGTGACAGATTCTCGCGGGAAATGTAAGCGAGAATATTCAAATAGGCAGCCATGTTAGTTTGGCATTACCGCTACTACCGAATGTGGTCCAATATTCCAGTGTGACTTGAAGTTGGCGTTAGGCACCAAGATAGTAGGAGGCTAAGATCATCACATGTGCAATCTTTGTTCATGTTTCAGTGTCGGTAGGGCTGTATCTGTTCTGTACATATTTGTGTATTGTGCTTTTTAGTCACTCTCGATTATTTCATTATATTTGCTTATTTGGGATTGTGAGTAATCAAGAGGGAAATGTGCTTGTTTAGAGGGGATCGAGCTATTCAAGTTTATACGGGCCTTGGTGAACCTAACACTAATATTTTCACTCGTTCCGAACCCAACAACTTTAGCCCACGTCTACAGACACCCCACTGGGCCTGGGTATTCCTCCCGCCCGGCGAGGTATATTTAACAACCCTTAGTTTTGTCTGATGTATGTGTTGTAATACCTGGGGAATGGCTCGATTCCATTTTGGTTACTCATAGCGTGTTTGTAGGTCAGATCTTAATAACAGGAACTCGTCAGTTTTGAATCTAAGTGCGATGTGACTAGCGATTCGAGGATTTCCAAATATATCTTTGCTATCCAGTTCTCAACAATTCACATTGACTTTGGTTTTGACTACCAAAGATGAGTATCCATTGCCCTTTATCTCCAACTATTACGATGTACACCATTTCGTTAAGCAGACAAAAAGACTATTAAAGTAACATCTTTATTAACAATATAATACATATTTAGAAAAGCATGTAATAATTGCACCGTTTTAATTACTAATTACGTAATAAAATATATTAAAAACAATTATATACAACCGAGTGATTCGCTTATAAAACAATTTGTTAAACTACTTACCTGCATCAAATAAACTAATTAAGAAGCGGGATTTATTTATTCGTATAAAAATTCTACTACTATCGAAATCCTAATTGTCCCAGCTAAAACGGAAAGGGATAAGCGCGTTGGGGAGTACGAGAGAAATTTACGCTTACCAACGTTTGCTTTTGTTGTTCCCTCTGTAAGATGGCCTCGGTTTGGTGATCGTCAAATTTGCAGACGGCGGCGATGACGCGCGCGAGAACCAGCGCCTCCTTTCCGAGCATGTAATTGTACAGCACGTTGCGGAGGTACTCAGTTTCGGTGGAGTTGCTCAGGTCGGCGCAGTGGTTTAGTGTGACGAGCGTCTCGTCCAGCTTCCGGTTGAGCTTTTCGTTCTTGTTCTTCAACTTCTGCAGCTCGTTCTCGTAGAACTGTATCGACGTCCGGTTGGTCAGGTCCAGTGACTTGTACTGAATGAGCTTGTCGTTGAGATGGTTGATTTCCTGCTCGTGGAGTTTGCCGACGTCGTCCGAGTTTATCGGCGCTATCTTCAGCTCTTGGATTTCGTCGCGGAGCAGCTGACGTTCGTGCGCGATCTCCGTGAATTGGTTCTCCAAGTCTCTGAGTTGCACTTGAAGCTCCTTTTCGATCGCGTCTCTAGTTTCGGACTGCTGGCGCAGTTCGCCGTGGAGCTTCTCGTTCTCGGCCCTGATCGTCTCCAGCTCTTGCCTGTCGAAGTCGGATTTCTCCCACGTTGTCTTTTCAAGCGCGATGGTTTCGTATTTGAGCTTCATCTCGGCTAAGTCATGGATTAGGCTGTCGTTCTCTTCCACTGTTTGCTTGAAATCGTGCGCGAGCTCTGTGTTTTTACTCCTGAGCTCGGCGATCTCTTCGAGTGACCTGGTGTAGTTTGCGGAGGTCTCCGCGTGAGTCAGCAGTTTCTCGTTCAGAGCCACCTCCTCCTGTCTTAGCCTCATCACCTCGTCTTGTAGCTGCTGATTCCCATCGCGCAAACCCTCCTGTTTCTCCTGCACCGTGCGCAACTCCAGTTGGCACGACTGGAGCTGCCCGTTCACCTCGTCGTTGGTTTTACGCAAATGCGCCGCGTCTTCGTCCGATTTCTTCAGCTTACCCTCGAGCTCGACATTAACCCTCACAAGTTCGGAGTTCGCGCTCGCGAGAGAGTCACAGTTACTCTCGCTAACCTTTAGCTTCGCAATCTCCTGCTGCAGAGCGATCATGTGATCGTCCTGCAGTTTGGAGACTTGCGTTTCGTGCTCCTCGCGAAGCGTCGCCAGTCCGCGTGTCAGCTTCTCGTTCTGGTCCGACGCGAGCTTCCGCACTTCCTCGGCCAGATTCGCATTCTCGTCGACTTTCAATCTTAGCGCGTGCGACAGACCGTCTTTCTCCTGCGACAAAACCGCGACGCGCTCGTCGGACTTCAGCAGGCGATCGCGAAGATCGCCGTTTTCATTCGTCAAATCCCGCAGCTGCGCGCTCTTCTGCGACGACGCGACCTCGTACTCGTTCAACTTCTGCTTGTACTCGTCGATGTGCGACTGAATTTCCTCGTTCTTCTCTCGAAACTCGGACACTTCCCCTTTGAGACTCTGAATGTCTGCGTGAAACTTCGCCTTCTGTTCCTTAAGTTTCTTCCGAAGCGCCTGCGTCGTCTTACTCGCCTCTTCGTCTCGGTTGCATTGCTTCAGCTCCAGCGCGGCGTTCTGTTCCGTCAGATGGCGCACTTGGTCCTGAAAGTCGGCGACGCTCAAGATCGTCTTGGCAACCTCGCTTAGGACCGAATCGTTGAAGGTCACCTCAGGTGGATTTGTGGGCGAGGCCATCAAAGCGTTCAGTTGCTCGATTTCCTTCCGTAGAGGATGGTTTTCTAATTCTAATTCTAGCCGTAACCTTACCTGCTGTAACTTTTCCAATTCACTTTGGCAGCTGGAATTTGTAGCCTCCAGTTGGGAGATTTTGGAGTCATATTTTGAAAGTCGCTCCTGTAGGATTAAAAGGGCGGTTGAAGAAAACAACAGTGCTAGACTTACCTGCAAGTCGCTCGCCTCCGACGACAGTTTCAAATTTTCGCTTTGCAAATTTGCCACGTCAGCTTGCAATCGAGAGACCTCTCCGGTCAAATTTGGCACGTCGACCTCCAAGTCGTCCACTCGCTTTCTGGCAGTTTTCAACTCGCTCAGCGCGCCTGAATTTTCCTCAATTAATTCCAGATGATTCCTCTCTAACTCATTGTACCTCTCTTGAAGCGCTTGAAGTTTCCCTTCCAGCTCCCCCACTGAGCACGCCAAAGTTTTCACCTCACCCTCCGTCTCCAGCAGTTTCAGCTGGGTTTCTTGCGCCGTCTCGGTACCGGCAACCACCTGTCGCAGCTTCTCCTCAAAATCGCTTTGCAAGCTTCGCTCGCGTTCGCCCCTTTCAATCTCAAACTTCTCCCTAATTTTCGACTCGAGATCGAGTAGACTCCTCTTCGTGTCCTCTCGGACGGTCGCAAGCTCCTCGTCGAATTTGACCTGGCGTCGTCCCACCTCTTCCCCCAGCCTTAAAGCTTCTTCCCTCATCTTCGCCTCGCTGACCCTTAACGCATCATTTTCGATTTTGAGCCGTTCCAATTGAAGCATTCCGCTTTCGTAGTCCTGAGCCCTTTTCGCCTCATTCTCATTCATTTGCTCGCCTAATGCAGCCTGACTCGCTTTTAACCCATCATTCTCAATTTTCATCTGCTCCAACTCACTCTCGTAGTTCTGACATTTCACTTGCTCCTCGGTCCTCAATGAGTTCAGCTGCTCAAGCTGGAGCAAGTCGCCTTCGTACCCCTGACATTTCCGCGTCAACGAGTCGACTGTTTCGTTTAACTCCGCCCGTTGCCGTTCCGCCTCGTCGCGCTGCTGCTTCAGCTTCGCGTCGCTCTCCTTCAAGGCCTCGTTTTCGATTTTGAGCTGCTCCAATTTGAGCGACTCGCTCTCGTAGCTTTTGCATTTTTGAGTCAGCGCGTCGATCTTCTCGATTAGCTTCGCGTTTTGACTGTGCAAATTCTCCAACTTTGTACTTTTGCTCTTATTTTCGTAACTGTCTAAATCTACTTTGAGAACCTCGAGGTCGTGCTTCAAATTCTGTATTTCAAGGTCGCGATTTTGTATCTCGGTGTGTAGCTCCATCTTCGTCTGGGCGATGATCAGATTGTTCTCCCTCTCTCGCTCCTTAACTTCGTCCATTTCCACCGCCTTTCTCTTGGCCGTCTCCTCGAGCTCGGCGATTCTCTTCTTTAGGTCGCTTTCTTTGCTGTTAAACACGATCGTGTTCGCCTTCATCTCCTGCAAACGTGCGTTTAGCGTCTCGATCTCGTTCTGCGCCGTTTTCAGATCGTTCGCGAGCCCATCGTCGAGATTCACTAACGTCTCCGATTTCTCGCAGTTGGAGTTTTTGTCCTGTAAAAGGTTCACTTTTGTCTTCAATGTGTCTATAACGTATTGTTTTTCATCTAGTTCGAGTCTTAAGGCATTTTCTAAGTGCGCTTTGGCTTTTTGTTCCAACGAACATTGTTCCCTTAGTTCGGCAACTCGTCGTAAGGCCTTGTCCTGAGTTTCCACCAACACTTGCTGTAAAATGTAGTTTGCATAAGTTACTGTACCCTTTTTTGTTACACTTTTTGAACGTTTTTCGAAGCTTTTGGATTTTTTTCTAGTGAACTTAAAGGGGCGGGAGGGAGATTTTCAATTTTTAAATCGCTCCACAAATAAGGAAGTTATATATTGCGCATGCGCAGTAGAATTTTTTGCGCAGTTGTTCCAAAAACGTCAGAATTTTGTACTTTCTGTTATAAAGAATGGCAAATCAATCAAACAAATAGAGACTGTCTCTTTTAACATATTTGACATTGGTGAACAGAAGAGGACAGTAACTGATAATTAAGTGCAAAGGCATTTAAAAAACCAAAAATTAGTACTGTAGAAATGTATATCTTTAAATTTGTTACCACTTATATACTTACCTATAATTAAAAAATGTAAAAATCGTATTTGGCCATCATTTTTATGCAACCGAATCAAAATCTTGTCTATTCCTACTACAAAACTATTTTCAAAAATTCAAAAAATTGCACGATTACTGATTTCCAATTTTTGGCGTTCATTTTGTTAGTGATAAGGAGGTACTGTATTGCGCATGCGCAGTACAATTTTTGAGGTTCATTTTGCTTGCTTTACGGATCCCAATATTTGGGGATCCAGTGAAGCTGACTTCTCCAGTAGGCCTTGCAAACATGAAGAGTTGTGATAAAATTGTCTTTTTTAAGATTTCTAGGAATTTCCCTAAAATGGTCCCCGAGTTTGATAAACGATTTCCAAAGCTTTTTTGAGCTTCAGACACCCATCAGAAGTCCAACCTGGAAAGTGCATCCCGGAGTTTCCTCAAGTTCCAGAGCTGTGCTCTTCCTGGAAAGGACATTGACAGCTTTGAAAATGGTCTTGGGCGCTCCAAAAGGACCCTACACGATTTTAGAAAGCACCAAAACGGTTTTAGAAAGTTGTGGAAATGACAAGTGCAAGTGAAGACACCATATTGATGTGCCCCAAGGTACCATGTTGGGGCCATTACTATTCATAGGACTATACTTGCACTTCTAGTGGGTGATTAAAATGCCAGAACTTATGGTCTTAAATATACAAGGCGTGTTTCTGTGATCATACACCCTTCATAGTGAACAGGATTAAGCGGTAGAGTAAATCTATACCAGTTTTGTTTATCTTTACCTTAATTTTCCCATTTTCCTTCTCCAACTCTTTATAGTAATTCTTAATGTCCGCATAGCGACCCCTATACTTATGGTATCTCAACTGCGCCTTCTGAAACGCGGCGTGTATCTGCTCTTTGCTAAGGTGACCGAGTTGCGACGACGTCGAGACATTGTCCTCGATTTCGCTGGCCGAAACGTCCAAGTCCGACTGCAAACAAACGGAGGAGGGGGGAAATTGTCACGCAAACGCACCGACTACCGAATTACCTGCAGGTGATACAAGTTGGACGCGGACTCGTACCGTGGCAGGAACGAGATGTCGCTCGCTATCGACGAGCTCGAGTTCCTCCGGACCGGCGCGCCCTGCGGAGTCGAAAGCGAGACGCTCGTGAAGCCGGGCTCGGGCGTCGACGAGTCTAAAATACGGTCCCGGTTAGTTGACAGTGTTCCGCGGGTTTGTCGCGTTTTAGGTACCGTCTTCTCCGATTGAAAAGAAGCTTTCGTCGCTCGTTGCATTCTGTATTCGTTCGGTTACTGTCTGCGTTAGCTGTTGGATTTTGTGGGGCGAACTTTTAACCTCTTCGGCGATTTTATCCTTCAACTTCTTAAACATTTTCTTTTACAATTGTTTAAATAATTTATAAATAAATAAATAAATACTACATTTTAACCTTTCCTTGACGTGTCAATTTGGCATACTGGAATACCACTACATTCTTATTTCTATCGATTTTTATTATTAGCTTTAGCACTAAATAGACGTATGTCGGTGATCAACTCGTTTGTTAACGTTACGAGTTGGCTGCGTTCCATGATCAGGGAGGATGAAGGTTGGACGCATTCAGTAAAATATGTTTTCATGCAATCATCTAGATATCTCCCTGCTGTTTAACAATTTTTACGCCTCATTCGAGATTTCTTCACGCTTGCTTCGTTTTCGTCACGCTTCGTTGACATTTCTCTACGCTTTCGTCTACCTTTCTTCACACTTCCTTCGAGCTTTCTTCACGCCTCCTCTAAGCTTGCTGCTACTTTCCCATCGAGTCTTTTTCTTCGTGTCATTTTTATATCTGCTTTCTTTGATTTTTCCTTCAAACCTTGCTTACGCCTCTTTCTAGTTTTCTCGATCTCTTCTTCTTGCCTTTTTAACTTACCCATGCTATTTTCGAGATTCCATCACATCTCTCAGAGTTTCCCCACGCCTCCTTCTACTCTTCTTCAGGCCGCCCTCGACACTTAATTATTCACGCCTACTTTGGATCTTCTACGTGCCTCATTTCAGCTTTCTGCACGTCTCCTTCGAGACTTCTACACGCCTTTTTTTGAGATTTTTGCACACCTCCTTCGAGACCTCCTCCTCTCCTTTTATATTTCTTCACGCCTCTTTCAAGATTCTTGATTTGAACACCTACTTCGACACCTACTTCACGCCTATTTTTAAATTTCTCCTTCGAGCTGCCATCAAGCCTCCGTTAAGATTTCTTCACACCGCCTTGTAGATTTCTTTCCTGTTAAGATTTCCACACGTTTGCTTCACGCCCAATTTAAGCTTTCTTAGAGTCTCCTTAATGCCTCTTTTAAATCTTCACGATTCGTTCATAATTACTTCACGCCTCTTTCAGCTTTCTTCAGACCTCCGAGCATTTTTCATCTCTCCTTCGAAATTTTTGCACGCTTCCTTTAAAGTTTCCGCACACTACCGCCCCCTTCAATATTTCTTTACTCCTCCTTTGAGATCTTTTGCGCCTCTTTATAGAGATTTCTCCGCATTTCCTTGAGGCTTCTTCACAGTTCCTCCGCCAAGTCTAATTCGCGCGTCTTCCGAGATTTCTTCAGCCTTTTTCACGTCTTCTTTTTTTCACGCTTCTTTTGACTCTTTGTGTCTCCTTCGAGAGTTCTGCACGTCTCCTTTGATGCTTTTTGCCATTTCTGTCTGCTTGATCACCTTTTTCAAGCCTTCCTCACGCTTCTTTAGAACTTGATTTGGTGCCGGCGCATTCGTCAGACCAAATGGCATTTCACACAAACCAATCTCGCGGGGTTCCCCGTGAATATGAGCAACTTTGTGTTGCATCTGTTTTACATCACTCAGATATAAAGAACAATCGTCAACTACGTGAAAATTTACTAAAAATATTAAATGCATTGGAGTCCGGCAGTGAGGTTCGATGTTGTTCTATTTTGAAATTCCCAAATAAACGGTTTCCTCAATCGCAGAAATCGGATTGTCTAGTTTTGGCTGAGTCCGTAAAAAAGTAATATAGGCCAAACTTACAATTAATGGTAGCCGCCATTTTACCCTACACCTAAGTGTCGAAAATAGGACACCCTGTATATGTCCATCAACCGCACGTCTGCATTGAGTCTTTCATGTCTGCGTTTTCTTAAATCTTCATTTCTACCACAAACCTTTTTCACGCCTCTTTCGAGTCCTGATCACACCCGTTTCGATTAATCCAATTTTTCGTCGCGCTTTCTTCAACCCTTCTTTACGATTTCTTCGCGTCTCTTTTGAGTTTTATAAGCTCTTCGAGATTTATTCGCGCCGTCTAGATTTTTCCTTTTTCACGCCTACCTCGATATTTCCTTGTGCCTCCTCATTCTAACTTTTTGTTCACTTTCTTTGGCGTTCTTTTCGTATCCGTTGAGTCTTTTTCACGCACCCTTGATTATTGCTTCACGGCTTCTTTTAGATTTTTCCATGCTTCATTTAACAATCTTTAATTCGAGATTTCTTCATGTTTCCTTCGAGATTCCTTCACGCTTGCTTCAAGCTTTCTTCAAGTTCCCTTCGATATTCCCCGTTTTTCAATACTAGTTCGAAGCTTCATGCCACTTCTTAAGAGCCTTCTTTAAGTCTTCCTCGCCCTTCTTCCGTACCTTCTTTGCGTCCAATTCCTTCTGCACTTCTTTATGCTTCCTCTGCTTCCTTCGTGCCATCTTCACACCTTATTCGAAACCTCTCACGCTTTATACGAGTCTTTTTTTATCTCTCCTCCAAGCTTTGTACACATCTATTACCCAATCTTCTATATTTCATAGACACCAATGATGCTCCCCACGCATGTTTCAAGTTTTCGGCTTTTTCGCGTCTTCGTTTCTTCACGCTTCTCTTGTATCTTTGTGTCACCTTCGAGATCTTCACGTCTTCTTCGAAACTGTTTGCGGTCTTCTTTCTTCAAACCTTGATTACTCCCCTTTCGAGTTTTCTTGGTATCTCTTTCGACTCTTCTTCACGCCTTTCGACCTTTACTCACGTCCGCGTTGAGCCTTTTTCACGTCTCTTTCGAGTCTTCTCCACGGCTCCTGCTTTGGAGTCTTTCAAGATTTTTCACGTCTTTTTCTAGTTTGCGACTCTTTTTCAAGCATCCTTCCAGTTATGGTCGGGCCTTCTTAGAGATTTCTTTACTCCTCCTTTGAGATTATTTTACGCCTACTTTGACACGCTGTCCTCCAGCGCCCTCTTTAGGTTTGCTAGCCTTTTTTACGTCTTCGATAGAGTATTTTTCTTCGACATTTCTTCATGCCTCCTTCAATATTCAAGGTTTTTCTTCTGAGCCTTCTTCACATCTCTAGTGAGGCTTCGCACTTCGCCTACTTCGAGATCTCCCCACGCTGCTTTCAAGGCTGCTTCGACCCTTCTTTATATCTTCATGTTTTCTTCAAAGTTCTTCACTTTATGTCTGTTTCACGCCTTCGAGTCATTTCCACGCGACCCTCCAGGTGTAGAGATTTTTTACTCCTCCTTAGAGGAGTCTTCTTCACACTTCGAAGTTCTTTACGCCTCCTTCGACACTTCAGGTCTCCTTAGAGCCTTATTCACGCATCCTTAGGGTCTTGTATGTATACCTCCTTTTAGCCTTCTGCACCTCTTATGTCACAAATAAGCTCCTACATTGTGTAATCGGTTCTTTTATGTGTTGGGACGTGAGCCATAATCGGGAAGGGAATTAAATAAGTCACAATTGTTGTGCGTCCGAAGGGAATAAGAGAAATGAAATTTATTACGCACGGGGCTTGGTTCCGCGGAGCAAATTTAAACCGAAAAACCAGGGAAAAAAGAACCCGCAAGCAAAAAAAAACCTGGCATAACACACACAAATAAAACATCTCATTAATTAACACTCAGCCCACTATAAAATAAAGGCAATAAAAAAAATAATTAAAAAAAATCTCAAGGTGTACGATAAAAATGAGGTAGGTAATAGAATTATTAAATGCAGTTAAACACATTCATAAAAACAAAACACACGAGATTTCGTAAATGCAAGTGGAAAACATGATAAATCAATTTAGTACAGCAACACATTAAAACACAACTCCTAAAATGACAAATTGCATGTACATAAGAAAACATCGAAATGGTGGAGTTTTACTCCAGCCTCAGTTATCATAAATTAATTTAACACGCAAAGTACATGTGAGAATGCCAATAGCAAGTATTCCTGTTAAAGTCCATTATCAACATACCTATTTTAAATAGAAGAAATGTTAGTTATAGCATCCCTTAATTCTCGTATTGCTAATTTTTCCGTCCGGACAAGGCTTAATAACATCGCCCTATTTTGCTCCTGTTGGAGCTTCGGGCACAGCATTGACGTTCACTACGGCAGTCGGAAGAGTTATGGCCGAATTGTCGGCAGTTAAAGTACAACACATGATCCGGATAACATGGTCTTGTATACGGCAGGTATTCCACCCGACGGCTAGCCAAGATATGCTTGCACCGTATACAGAAGGTGGAGAAGTCGAGGAAGCAGGTGTTCAAGGAAGTTGATGGAAACTCCAAGACAGTCCGGAAGGTCGGAGAAAATTTCGAAGTAGATTAAAGTCCAAGAACAAAAAGCGACGAGTTTTTAATCATCATTTGGTCACACTTTTTAGCGCATTTTTTAATAATTAAAAAAGCTATTGTTTGCGTTTCGTCCGTCCGTCTGTCCGTTCGGATCCACTTCTGCCGTTTTGAACTACTTCTAGGGGAATGGTCCTAGAGTCCTGGAATTTTTTGCAGTAGGTAGCCTATACCTCGAAGGTGTGCCAGACGGCCATCAAATTTCGCTGCCTAAAAGGGGGGCCCCCCATGAATTATTTCCTGAGATGCTGTTTTTGAAAGTAAAACGTGCATAACTTTTGCATACGACAACCAATTGGTCTCAGATTTTGCATACGCATGCCTTTAGTGGTGACAAGTTAAACTTTAGAAAATGGGGGGGGGGGGGTTAAACACATGTCCTACCCTTCATGGTATTCTAATGAAAGGTCTCATCGAAATAAATTGATTTGTACAAACTATAACTTTCCCGTGCGACTCTTTTTCGAGATCAGTGAACGACGGGGCCTGGGGGGGGGGATTAATTTTCTCTCTCATTGTATTCTAAACGAAAGGAACCGTTTTCTACCAACTACTGCCCTTCTTTCCGTCCTCTTGTCAAAGTACGGGGAGGAGGAGGGGGGGAGTGGAACTAGTTTTATCCTTCATGGTACTCTAATGAAAGGTCTCAACGAAAGGAATTACTTTCTACCAACCATAGCCCTCCTCCTCGACCTCTTATCGTGATCGGGTATATTCCCTCATACCTCAAGAACGGATTGTCGGAAGAGAGTACTCACAAAGAGCGATTGAGAATATTATATCCATTGGTGATGTCAAAACAAAAGCTATTTCTGTTTAAAAAAATGCACTTTATCTGCACAAGAGTTGTGCACAATTTATACTTGTTTTAACTGGAAACAAGGTAGACAAGTACAATTTAGAAGCATTTGCATTCCACATAAAAACATGGAAAGTGAATGAGGCAGTTAGTGGGCTAATCTGGCCAAGGTTGCTAACGTTACCTATGAACCTTCAACACACATAAAACAAGTTCTCGCGCTAATACAAGTCGCTGTTTTATATGTGCATATTAACCTTGTGTAGCAGAAAAATTTACATCAGAAGTATAAAGGTCTATCCTTTAGTCGACTATATAATGTAATCTTTAAGAAAGATGTTAATTCGAATGTCGTTACCTATGGTGCTGCACAGATTTCATCTTCTGTTCGGATTTGCCGCTGCACTTAGCTTGCGTAAGTTTAACTTATGTGGCATTCTTCGGGAAAAACGCTTAATGTTTCAGCCAGCGAATTTAAGCGGTGCAGCCTATCGGATCCCAAGAGAGAAGAATGTTTGCGAGACGCCATTCAGCACGCCTTCCCACTGCTGAAGAATGGTAAGTACTGACCTAACGCGGTTTTACAAAATCATGACCTCATCTGCAGGTTTACCGGAATTTAATTTTCCTCCACTGGAACCGACCAGAATAGAAAGTATGACCATCGGGGAAGGTCATGGGAGCGTGGACATTCGGCAGACGTACAAAAACGTGGAGCTTCACGGAATGTCCGAGGTCAAAGTGAACAGCATTTCGTAAGTGCCACGATTCACGAAACCCTCTGAGTGTGTTTGCTTTAGACTAGAAGAAGCGGGTGACGTGGCAACGTTGTCACTTACTGGAATTTACGATAAGCTACGCATGGAGGCCGATTACGAAATCGATGGGAGAGTTTTACTATTGTCCGTTCACGGAAAGGGGCGATGCGTCATAAACCTTTGTACGTCACCGAAACGGCAAAGAGCAACTAAACGGTTATGTTATTCCCAGATAATGTCACCGCGAATCCGACAATAATAAGTAAACAGTACGAGAAGAACGGAACGACCTATTCCAGAATTGAGACGTTCAACGCTAGCACAAACCCGAAAAAGGTGGACTTCCATTTCGAAAACCTATTCGACGGAAATGAGATCTTGGGAAGGGAAGTCAACAACTTGATCAACGCCGAATGGGAGGTGGTCTTCGGCGATGTAAAACCGGCCCTAGACATCGCGCTTGGGGCCATTTTTAAGAGAATAGCAAATATTATTTACACCAAAGTGCCATTTTACGAACTATTTCCAAAGTGATCTTATCAACGTTCTTTGAGTGGAATCGGTTTCTTCAAACTGGAGTAATAAGGGTAGACAATCCATTAGATCTAAGTAAGACAAATAAAAATTGATGTTGTTTCCCTCCCATAAGTGTTTCGGTTACTACTCCCTGATTAGTTCCCACTTCCTTTTTCATCCTTCATCCTAACGATTTCCTCCTTTCGATCTCAGCTCGCCCGTATCCATTTCTCCTCTCTGTTCTTCTCAAATTCCTTTTGCGTTTATTTTCGTTGTCAAGCAATCTTTTACCAATCCACTTTCACTATCTCTCCGCCCTGCGCATCCTCCATCATTTTCCATACTGTTTCCCTTTCTACTCTGTTTTTTTGCATTTCCATCGATCGTTCCTCTCCATTTTCTGAATACCATTTATTTCCTCTCACATCCTCTTCTCTTCTATTTCTCTTTCTTTACTTTCATTCAATACAGTCGCATACCTATACAGTGCATTACTTTTATAGCTTAGTGCGTTGAAGCCAACAAAAGCACGAATTAATTGTTTTTAAACATTTTACAGGTTGCCGTTTTATTTATAATGATAATCAGTCCAATTCTGTAACTAACAAGTTTGCAATATTGCTAACTATAGCAAGATTGCTCACACAAAATTCTAGCAATATTATGAGCAATGATAACAAATTTGTCATTCTTTAACTACCAACTTGAGCAATATGGCTAATATTCCTACACTTCGTCAAATTGCTACGAACTAGTCAGAACTTAGTAACAGAGTGTTGTCACTGGGCGTAAAATTAAACGCATTACTGAACCTACTGAACTCTTACCACCTAATTTCACAACTGTTTAAACTTTTTAATTGTAAGGTTAGTTGTATTTTTGATTTAAGTTTAACCGATAGACGCGTTGGTGACTTTAAAAGTGATGTGCGACTTGTAATTTGTATTTGCTCGCCATGGAAAATACAGATACCAAACAGCGTGGTACTAGAACAACATGGAAGCAACATTCCCTAATTGTGGGCAATTTAGAAAACAAGTAAAAAAGTTTTCGCCCTAAGACGATTAACTTTAGCGCACCATGCATTGATCACATGATACTACAACTTTGTAGTATCATGCATTGATCAGTAGTTCCGAAAAGGTCACTGAACGGACATAATGCGGATGCGCAGTGTAATTGTTACTATTTTTCTTGGTTCAGGTGCCCAATACGATTATCTTTCCTGGAAGCATCTGTTGTTAAAATTTCTCTATAAATAAGAAATTTGGCAGTTGCGCAGTTTGCCCATGCCCACATCTGATGTTTACAATATGCGATATGCTTATCTTTACTAGAGACATCTATGTTTAAAATTTCAAAAAAATATCTCTATAAATAGGAAAGTTGACATTGCGCCGTTTAATCGTCAAGATTTTGTAGTTATACGCTACCGAATGCAAAAAGAATGAATTAAATATCTTGAACTGTAGGAGTAGTTAAGGCCTCGGACAGACGGACAGAGAAAGTGGCTTCAGTAGCGCACCCAACTTCTTTGGAAAATGCCCTAAAAATGCCATGTTAGTTCATGAAAGAACTGCTCCAAACGATATTAAAAACTAGATGAATTATGATAAGAATCGAATCTTCAACAGCGTTTAAAAATTCGTATTTAAACCAACCACCTGCCATATTGGAGCGGGTGAAATACACTTGCTAAGACTTAACAACAGCACTTTACCTATTGCTAGGGTCAAGCAATTGAATTGTTAAAATTTTAGGCAACATTGCTAAGTTTGTCAGTATAGAATACCACTTTTAACAAATATTGCTCATCTAGCAATTACCTTCACTATTAGCAAGTTGCTAAGATTATTTTAAGTTACAGAATTGGACTGAATGTCATAATAATCATAACAACACCTCGTATAAACCAATTAGGTGCACAGCTTTGATTAATAAATTTTGTTTTTAAACGTAACCAGCCACTCCAAATATAGCGAAACGAAACGTTTTACACCTTGGACCTCAACGCTTTCGTGGTAATAATTTACTTAAATGCCTGAAAGCTTTCAAGAGCCTCTAAGTATCTTCAAAAACCTTTCTAGAGCCATTTAATGTGATGATGAATGTGCGACAAGACTTAAGGCTTTTCAAGAGTCACCACCAGAGGTTTTCTGGAGACTTCTTAAAACATTACAAGGTTTTAAAGGCACTTTAAGAACCTTCATTAGTATTTACGGTTATTTAAGTATCTTAAGAATATTTAAGAGCCTTCATGGGTTACCCCACGGTTTCTCTAAGGACCGCTTTTTAGTGGCCTTTAAGAGTCCTTAAAATATCTTAAAGTTAAGGACCTTTTAATGTTCCATAAGTCTTTAAACGTTTGCAAAGACCTTTTAAAGCCTTTTGGAGGCTTTAAGAATTTTTTTCAATAGTCTTCAAGAGACCAGGAGGAATTTCCTAGGGTTTTTATTTTTAATTCACTTTTTTAAAAAGCCTTGATGATTCGTGAAGAGTCTCCAATCGTTGTAAAAAGCCTTCCAGAAGTTCTTTGAGTCCTTTGAATGCATTTAACACCTCAAAATGCCTATGAAGCCTTTAAAGAGTTTTGTGAACACTTCAGAGTATTTAAAAGGTGTTTAGGGTCTCTAAAGGTTCTTAAATGTCGCCTACAGTCTCGAAGAGTCTGCAAGGCTTTCAGAGCCTTTTAAATGCCATAGAGGATTTTAACGGTTAAGAGCTTTATGAACTGATCCTTAAAGGGATATTGGATCGTTATGACTCCTTTCTTGAATTCCTCTTTAAAGGGTTTACAAGAACCTTGAAGAATAGCAAGAATGTTTCGGCGGGCCCTCGACGTCACCTACCTTAAAGTAGACAGAGGATAGGGTTTTAGTGGGTAAACCTTAGCGACGGAAGGGAGCCCCCCCCTCCCTATACAAAGTTTCTCAAACCTCTATAAGGGAAAAAAAGGTTCTGCTAAGGGCTCATACAAGATTCCAAAAGACCATTTTTGATGATTCTTAAAAATTTATTATGTATGTTGAGGGCTCTGAAGGCCTCTAAAAGCCTTTTAAAAACTAAGAAGGCCTTAGAGCATGTGGTCACTTTGCCGTTTCAAATATTCGGTTTTGAATTTGTATTTTGTTAAACTGAGGAAAATGTACACAAATTTATAGCGATCATGAAGAAACGTATGTCTGGCGATAACAATAACCGTATTCGAAAAAGCGAGTGCGGTTGCTACGATCCCTTCGAACCTAAGAGTTTCAATGCGTTCTGTTTAAAGCCGAGCACGTGACAAAAATACAGGTTTACTATTCGTTTATAAATGTACGCTAGTTGCGCTTATTGACATAGACCTTCTTACGCAAGGTGTGGTCCTGATACAAAATTTTTTACCAAATCTAACAGGATTGGTGGAAAATATTAGCGTCAAGGGATGGGTGTCAATTTATAAAAATAAGTTGTAGTTCTAGGGTAGCCGTCAGGACATTCGTATTAAGCCGTAAGCAAAGTTCATTCAAACACCTGTAAATTACCGGAGGGTGTGCTTTATTTGGGGTTTAAGATATACGATAATCCCCGATCGAATATTATCTCGTGTAAGATTTGCTTGGGTGCACATTAAGCCTTACAATCGTAATCCTACATTTGGCCGAAGGTGAGTTCGGCACAAACCTGTCTGATGGGATAAGTCAGATTTCTACTCTGCCTAGGTTTGTGCCGAACTCGCCTTCGGATTTCGGTTTTAACCTCGTCTATAACTTTTGATTGAGAAGTCTGATCGAAAAAGTACGAATTGTTTTGGATTCTACGCCCCCAAATTAATAAGAAAAAGTGTTTTCCCGAGAAATTTTGGTGTAGTCCATTTTTGGTAAAAAAGGAAGGTTATACACTGCCTTTTTTTGAGCCCCGAAAAAAAAATTGTCTCAGATCGACCCGGAAAAAAATTTTTCTTATAGAATGTGGCCTGTAAAATCCATAATTTCAAACAGTTCCAAGATTGGGCTACTAGCTCAAAAGTTACAGCCCTTTGAATTTTTTTTCGAAATTGGTTTTTAGTCTATAACTTTTGATTGAGAAGTTTGATCGAAAAAGTACGAATTGATTTGGATTTTACGCACCCAAATTAATAAGAAAAAGTGTTTTCCCGAGAAATTTTGGTGTAGTCGATTTTTGGTAAAAAAGGAAGGTTATACACTGCCTTTTTTTGAGCCCCGAAAAAAAAATTGTCTCAGATCGACCCGGAAAAAAAATTTTCTTATAGAATGTGGCCTGTAGAATCCATAATTTCAAACAGTTCCAAGATTGGGCTACTAGTTCAAAAGTTACAGCCCTTTGAATTTTCTTTCGAAATTGGTTTCTAGTCTATAACTTTTGATTGAGAAGTCTGATCGAAAAAGTACGAATTGTTTTGGATTCTACGCACCAAAATTAATAAGAAAAAGTGTTTTCCCGAGAAATTTTGGTGCAGTCGATTTTTGGTAAAAAAGGAAGGTTATACACTGCCTTTTTTTGAGCCCCGAAAAAAAAATTGTCTCAGATCGACCCGGGAAAAAAAATTTTCTTATAGAATGTGGCCTGTAGAATTAATAATTTCAAACAGT